ATTACACTGAATGACACTGCACCACAGATAGACAGGTAGACAGACAGACGGATAGAGAGATAGATAGATAGATAGATACATAGAAGATAGATAGGTAGGTAGGTAGATAATCAGAGAAAGAAAGAGAAAGAGGAGAAAGAGAGGAGACCTCAAGCACCTTTCGGTCCATCAGTGGATTCGCTCTGCCATCCCGGATTCACAAGAACCAATCTCTCCTGTAGGTTTCCTATTTTTGAAACTTCCGCCACTGCCTTGTGCGGTACTACTGGTATATTGCATCAATTCCGGCTATAAATACGCGGTTTCCGACCGGAGCGCCCACGTTTTCGACAACCATCCCGTTGTCCTAAAATTCGGATACCCCCAAATCAGGCATTGCGATGCGAGTTGTTCTGCTAAAAATCGCGGTTGAGTCGACGTCCCGAAGCACCAATTTTCGGGAAAATTTCGCGGTTCAGGCAAAATCCCGAAACACCAATTTTCCGGAAAATTTGCCACTTTAGGAAATTCCTAAATCGCCAAATTTCTGGGAAAATTCGGGGTTTCGTCCGAAATTTCCGGAAAATTTGTAACTTTTGGCATAATTGTACGATGTATTGGATCAATTCCGGCTACAATTTTCGGGTTTCCGACAAGGGCGCCCATTTTTTCGGCAGGTATCCCATTTTATGTAATAATAATTTTAATTATATAATATTTTTAAATATTAATACATTATTTTTTATTTTTTAAATATAAAATTTATATTATTATAATTTATTATTATTTTTTTTCAATTTAATTAATTTATTTTTTTCCGGTAATTTTTATATAATACAATTATATATAAATATAATTTTTATTTTTTCTTATTTTTTAAATTTAATTTGTTATTTCATTTTATTTATGTTTTATTTATAATTATTAATAATTATTTATTTAATATATAATATATTTAATTTATATATATATATTATATAAATAAGAAAATAAACAATATATAAACATATTTACAATAGTAGTCGTTCCGCAGTCCAACAATATAGTAATAATATAGTAATCCTCATTTAATTTACGGTCAATTCCCTAAAATACATGTTATATATATATATATCAAATTCTCTTGGAGCAGCAGCCAGCGATTGCGCATTAACAAACCCAAGGGGGGGGCGGGGGGATGAACGAAAGCTAAGGTTATATGAGCCTAGAAACATGATGGGATTTTTGATGGGGTTTTAACATGCTAAATACAGATTGCCTAGAGATCTAGTAGGATTTGAGCCCGTGACCTTCTGCTTCCACCGTCCCTCCCCTTCCAGCTGATTTATCAATAGTTGCTAAAAATATAACGATGGAATTCTGAACATACAAAAGGTCATTGATAAGAAAGCAGCTGCACCAAACTGAGTTTCCCCCACCTGAACGCAATATGCGACCTAAGCATAACTAGATACGTAAAGTCACCTGAACGCAAGAAAAAACATCAAAAACGCTAAAAAACAATAGTCGTGCTGAGATCAGCAGAGTTCCCCTGATTTTGCAAAAAGCCACGACTTCCAGGGAAAGCTTCGCCGCAACTAAATATAAGTAATTTCTTTAGAAAAGGCACGACTTTGTCTTTTGGTTGTATGAGTCCTATTCCTGATGTATGTTTTTCAATTCATGCAGGGTTTGTTCATGTACTGCTCATTTAAATTCCGTATAGATTTCCTATCCATTTCGATTTCTGTTTATATTTGCCTTCATATGATTTTGCTTCATGATTCTGGTCATGTTTTTCTTTCCTTGTGTTTCTCAAGCGAAATAATTTCATTTCCAAGTCTTGAGAGGGTTGTTCATTCCTCACCGGCAAATTCTTAGACAAAAGATTCAGTCAAGAATTTTCAGTCTCGAGAGGCGAGTGAACATTTTGCTATTGAGTATGTCTACCTGGGATATATATTGAGTATGTTAGCTAATATATACCCTCTGGTAAACTAACATAACTATACATAACTATGGAAAATCACCATGTTTAATGGGTAAATCCACTATTTCGACTGGGCCATTTTCAATAGCTTTTTGTATGTTTACCAGGCCGGGTATCCAATTAATCATCTTGGGATACAATAGATCGGAGGCTCGGCCAAGGAATGATTGGATTGCCGATATTTCACTCATGTTTCACCAGAAGAAAAGAAATAGCACACCAAACGAGCAACCATAATCTATCAATTATTGGTAACAACATAAATTCAATTCCCTGAATAGGTATATATCATTATATATACGTATATATATATATACATATCATAATATTGATAACGTGTTTTTTGAAATGAATGTTATTCCTGGATTTGTTGTTGCGACGTGACTTCAGGCACCTGGCATTGAGTTTCAATAAGAGTAAATCGGAAACTAATTCAACCATATCAAAACAACAGTGCAGTCCTTCGGAAGCAAAAACATTGCGGCCATATACTGGAAAATATCTGTTTCAGAAAGAGCATTGCTTCAGATTTTGACATATTTTCCCAAGTTATCCTCAGGCTTTCTCAAGTCTGTGGCCTCTATTCCGACTCTTGGCACCAAAACACGAGTCTACAATTCTACCCGACTTGGGTTCAGAAAATTGCAGTACTCCAAAATACTCCAAAACCGCTATCCCAATGTTCATGATTTGGAAACCCAAGAAAAAAAGCACCAATTGGGACACCAGTTATGGGCTTATGGCTATTTCCTCAGTAAAAATACCAGTGTTTGATGATTTTTCGACTCCCCGCTGGCGCCGCTGGGTAGGAACCCCCGGAAGCCCCAAAAAACCCCAACACCTCCTGCGAGTCGAAGAAATATTCCTGCGCCATGCGCATGCGGAGTGCAGAGACCTGGCATCGGATAAACTTCTGAATGATCATAGTGATGATACTCATTAAGTACTATGATGACATACTATATCATCATCTATCATAATCTATCATCATGACAACTTATATCATAAACTTGTGATGTGATACTATATCATAATGATGATAATTAAATGATAATGATGATAATGATGATAGTTATAATAATGATAATGATGATAGTGATGATACTATATCATAATGATGATACTACCCTCTGGTTATTTAACATAGCCATGGTATAGATGGCCCATTTATAGATGGTTTACCTATTAAAAATTGTGATTTTCCATGGTTATGTTAAATAACCAGATGGTATATCATAATGATGATAACTGGTTGGTGGTTCTCAATCCCTCTGAAAAATCTGAAAGTCAGTTGGGGTTACTACTCCCAAATATGGAACAATAAAACATGTTCCAAACCACCACCAGATAATGATGATAATGATTATGATCTCATTATATCATCATACGCACAATAGTTAGCCATATTGATATTATGATTCAACCAGCTTCAGAACAATCATAATATCGAGCTGCGGAAAGTATTCGGTGAACAGCTCGGAATATCGCAGATCTATCCTTCAGAGTCCCCAAGTCTACTTCAATGGCTGTCAGGTGGAAGTTCTGAGCATTATCCTCTGGTAAAGTAACATCATCTAACAGTGTGCTATGGAAAATCACCATTTTTTATAGGCAAATTATCCAAATTCATCCATAAATGGGGATTTTCAATAGCTATGTTAGTTTTCCAGAGGGTCACATCTCCTCAAACAGGCCGTTGAAAAGCCAACGCCAGGCTAACGTTGATGTGGTCTTTCCAGGCCTCGTCAATGTCGATCTCCAGCTTTTCAGCACCTTGGTGGTTTTTTGAAAGACTGAACCCATCTTACCCTCTGGTAAACATACAAAAAACTATGGAAAATCACAAATTTTAATGGGAAAACTCACTATCAATGGCCATTTTCAACAGCTATGTTAAATTACCAGATGGTAAAAACTCATGACAATAACTTAAGTTTTCGCATCCATTTCCAAACAACCATTGGTCCATTGACCATTTCTAACATTTTTTCTGACTTATGTTTCATACAACAAAAATCATCAAACAAATCGGAATTTCAATCCCCAAAAATCCGCAGGTTTTCCCATTCCTTCCCCATTAGTCATCCATTCCTTGTGGTCCCGGGCTCTGCAGCACTTGGCGTGCTGATACTTCAGCCCAACTGGCGCCACTGTCCAAACCATCTGTGGCCATGGTGGCCAGGTGACGAAAAAGCTCCAGGTCGCGATAATCTGGCAGAGTTTTGGAGCTTTTGGATGGTTTTTTTGGGGCAAAAACTAGAGGAACCCATGGTTTTCCAGTTCGATTTGAACAAAAACTGGAACACTATGGAAAAACTATGGGAACACTATGGCATATACAATTTATTTTGTTTCATTGGGCAGCAGGGTCAACGCGCCGCGATCATGCAAATGACAAAAGGTTCATAAAACGGTAAACTATATTCATGTCTTGAAATATCTGCAAATGAGGGAGAAAGCGTCCCATATGCATCACACGACTATTTTGGAAATCGTTGAGTAGGACTTGTGTTTGTGAATCACCCATTCAATTTTCTCTTTCCTATATGCATCATGAATTCACCATCGTACGACTGGCAACAATAGTGCGTCGAACATCCCCAGCATCAGTAGGATCTTCGTTGACTCATGTTGACTCACTGGACAACTCTATGGTTTTCCCTCTATGTCTCTGTTTCCCCTTGCCTTGCAGTTGATCTCATGCCCATCTGCTAGATTAATTATAGTCAACATATCACAAAAATACTACCCTGCAGTAAACTAACAGTTTGCTATGGAATTTCTGGGTCATAGAAATAGATAAAATTTACATAAATTTACCTATTCAAAATGGTGATGTCCCAGATTTAAAATCTGTAAAGGTTTACCAGTGATTCAGGACCCTTCAGGACCCCGTAGTCATCCCATCTCCGGTCCTTGCGCAGCAAAGGCACTAGCAACCCTTCCGGGGAGATCATCATGACCTCGGCCTGGGCCTGCACTCCTCGGCCATCGGATGATCCCATGGGAACCCCAAATCGCCAGCTTCGCTGCTGCTTGGAAATCCCGATTTCGGGGTAGCCCCATTGAAACATATTGAAACCTTCATTTCAGGTACCTTTGGAGAACATCTTCAACATTGTTCAACTGTTGTGAATTTGAAATAGACTATCTTACTTGGAGGCAAATAGAGCCAGCAATCTGAGACTTTCGGAAAGATTTATCAGTTACCTGGCCGCATGCTGGGTACTCAAATTCACTTTTAAACATGGCGCTTCCGGCCCGTAGTCTCCAAGAAGATTCACATATATTCACATCATATTGCCTGATCGTACTGTACCTCCATGAATTTCCATGATCAGCCGAGTGACAAATACACTTGCAGCTTTTTGGCAACGCGTCTGCAGAGAGAAGCATCCTGTAGCCCAAATTTTGAAAGCTCCTGACGCCAGCTTTCCCAAGAAACCAATGGAGTAAATGAAGGACTCGGCAGTGCTTAGCTTTTTGATGCGTTGCTTTTTAGGGGGGTTTGGAGACTCCAAAAAGATATGCTGAGACTGATCTTGTGTGATTTTGCTGGTATTCAAAGCCGCCAAGCACAAATTGCTGGAGACATATGGCAGGAAATGACGATCGGGCCTCAAGCAACTTCACTGCATGCTCGGCTGGAATCTCCTGCCGAACATTTCAACAATCTGGCCCTCCAGCCGGGCATATTTTTCACAAACCATCCCAAATCAGGCCGGAAAGCAACAACTTCGTCATCAGTTTTTCATTTTTTTTTCAGTACACGTCTGACATTAATCATGACTCCATGACATCAACAACAAGTCACCTGATCACGAATCAAGCCCATATGGGATATCATGGGATAACTTGATGTGATCATCATGGGGATATCAACATGACACTACCAACGATGGGTTGATCCCACAGATCTGTTTCCGGCAGTCCCACATTACATCGGCGGCACGCCTGGCAATGTATAACTGCTGGCTATCCCAAATCCGGAAAAAAACCTCATTGATAAGCGTATAGTGGATAATAGTGTATAGTGTATAATAGTCTCTAATAGTCTCTAATAGTCTCTAATAGTGGATAATAATGGATAATCATGTATAATAATGGATAATAATGGATAATAATGGAGAATAGTGGATAGATTAACCATAAGTGTGGTAAAGCCAATGCCATAAAGCAACCATTTGGAGATGATTGAAATGCCAAGCATTTCGAATGATATCGAGGATGGTTTCTTATTGGGTTTATCCACATTTAGCTACTATTGTGAGTTTTGGGGATATACCTGGTACGTATGTACACCATTGTACACATCATTTTCAGGCACACCCAGGAATGCATTTTGAAGATGTTTCCCGCCTGTTTCCCAAGAATGCCTAGCTGCGAAACGATCTCTGGGTAAAGTTGCTGTTAAACCCGAACTCAAAGTTTTAATTGGGCTAAACATGGTGTTGCCCAAAGCCAAAGTGCACAATTTGGTAGATGCACAGCGTGAGCCAAACATTTTTCTTCACCACGTTGCCAACTTGGAGGTTTCCATTTTGTCATGCTACCCCCAAATCGTCACTGGTTGGTGGTTTCAACCTACCCCTCTGAAAAATGATGGACTTCGTCAGTGAGTTAGTTGGGATGATGACATTCCCAATATATGGAAAGTCATAAAAATCCATGGTTCCAAACCACCAACCAGTGGTTAAAAAAAGTGGTTTATAGTGAGTTTTCCCATTAAAAATGGTGATTTTCCATAGTATTCCCAACCACCAACCAGATCATAAATCATCCAGTCGTCATCCAGTCGTGGATGACCATAGGAAAACCCATGACGACTGGGGATCCCTCAGTCGCGACCTGGCTAAGCAACGCAAGAGGTCTCGAGACTGATCCTGTCCACGGCAGGAAGATATGGCTCTGAACATGTTGGGTAAATCATGGCTAAACCCCCAGGGTTTTCTTCTGAAAAAAATGGCTACCCCGCATGATCCTGATTCTGGTTTTTCCAAGAACCATCATCCAAATCCCTTATCATGATTATTGGAAACCATCAAATATGATTCTTGATAACCATCAAATAACCATCAAATAACTATCAAATAGCCAATAAACCTGATTTTTGCCGGATTTCATGGTTCTTTGATGCTTCTTTGAGGCAAGCATTCTTAGACCCAGTCATTTTGCACGCCCGTTGGATCCCCCAGCCGTGGTGAAGCAAGGCTCGGATCCGTGGCTTGTCCCATCTATGAATGGGTTATGGACTATACTTTAGAACTGTGGTTAGTAGGTAACATACTTGTAACCACTTTTCTTGTTATAACCATTGTATGAGATATCAAATCTATAAAGACATAGTTATACTGGCTTATTATAATTATAACTATGGTATACTATGGTAATAATTCTGATCATAACCATGTTACATAACTATAAATGGGTACTATCCACTTATGTTTCTCCTGGGCTGATCCTCAGCTCAGGTCTCCTTGTCTAGACGCCGCGGCAAGATATCCGTGAGGACGGAAATGGCCAGCCCGGGCACCTTTTTTTTTCGGTGGATTGGGGGCGAATGAGCTTTGGACAATGGGAATCTCAGGATCCTAACATGGAGGATATATATAATATATAATAATATATATAATACATTATATAACTGTAGATATTAATGTACATATCATGTATATATTATTTTTGGCTATTTTTTTTGTGGGGATATTCCCTGAAATTTCTGTTTGGGGGGCTTAAGCAACGCAAATCAGGGGGATTCATAGGAAGCTCGTGGGGGCTTATAATGTGGATGTAATGGGTATATGATGATGGGGATATGGGGATCTATAGGCTGTATAATGCATCAGCCAATGGGGATGTGTAAAGGGAATCTAATGATGAGATTATGAAACACCAACCCAATTTTGTGGTATAATAGGGATACTCAACAAACAAATTTATGGGTACGTATATATACGTATATAATGCATAGATCAAATACAATCAACATGACTTATGGAGTATGGCCAAACCCGTCCCATAGGGGCATCCCAATGGGTATAGCAACAGCCCAAACGCGATTAAAACCATGTGCATCTTTCCATGACCCGAACAGGGAGACTTTCCCAATATTTGAACAGTATCATCAGTATCCAATAGCGTTTTCCCATCATTTTCTCATCATTTTCTGGGTTGCAGCCTGGGCAATGCCCAGCCCACAACTTTCGCTGAGTTCCGGTCTGGGCTTTTGCTGTTGATCACCTGAAATGTGCATCTTGGTGGGTTTTGGAGCTGCTGGCAGCCGGTTGTGATGATTGGTTGTGGTGGTTCTAGTCATTTGGTATGGATGTTAACCATCAAAATACGGGAATCTGAGAATATATATATAACTATATAACGCATTAATGATGGTTGATGATTAGTTGGGGGATTATACTAACCAATATCTTAGGGATGAGAACTTCAGTGGTTTGAGGCTGACAATCTCCAAAAATCTGTAGATTTTAAGAGACATTGTCACTTCAACACTTTTACTACAAAACCTTTCAAAAAACCTTAGAGCATCGATTCAAAACATGTCAAAAACCATTGAAATGTCCTAGATGTTCGCAGATGTTCACTTAGAAACCCATTGAAAACTTAGAATCCTCAACTCCTTCCAGCCCCACGACCTGCACCGCCATAGGTCGATAAACATTCAGGAACGGAGCGAGCTGGGGCCTAACAGCACCAGAACTGGATGTTTTCTGAAACTCGCACAGAGAATTTCTGACTAAATTCGGTACTTTCATACTTCTGGATATGACTGATGAAGACTGATGAAGGCTGATGAAGGCTGATGATGGCTGAAGAAATTAGGTAAGATGATGGCTTCCAAAAGGGATTTTTTACACTTCGTAGATGAAAGAACCGTTGGGTATTCGGCACCCGAGGCATCGACTTGTGAACATCAAATGCACGGGCCAGGATACTCAATTCCAAGGGTTCCAGCAAATGCATCGATTTCAAACACCTCGCAACCAAGGCAAAACTTTCGAAGTCTTGAAAATCAATGTGCAGTTTAACTGGCGAAATGTCGAGTTTCATGAAATTTCACTGGAGTTGGAACTGTAGTCCATGATTTTGACAATGATTTTTGGAATGCTTTTCCAATGATTTGGAAATGGAATTGAATGGAATTGGAACATCACACAAATTCCAACTGGAGGTCTTGAGACAAAAATGACCAAAACTTACTGGTGCTTATCAGGGAATGAGGGAATGATCCATAATCCCTAGTGATAATCATCCCATTCCCCCCAGTCCTATCCATTCCCTACTAAGCACCAGTAAGAAAACTGCAGAAAAATCGATCCCTGGCCTCTTCGAAAGAATCTCCCAGAAAGCGGCTGGGAATTCTCGACGGCGACTGTCAATGACATCCTGCTGTCGACTTCAAGGCGTCACGATCTGAGACATTTGGGGTGTCAAAACCAAACATGAAATGGAGATTTTTATGGCGGTTCACCAGCAACGGCTAGACACATACATGACAAAAGTTGACACAATATATATATATATATAATATTATATACTCGTCTTTTGACGTTTTTTTTTTAGGTATAGGCATAGGTATTGTCACTGCTGCTGTCCTGAAGGGTCTCCAGCAGTTTTCTTCGGTCTGCCATGATCAACACCTCATTGTAGTGCCGTTTCCTAAGTTCGGCAAAGAGCAACCCCTCCCACTGCCTCCTCCTGCAACAGCGTTCCAGCTGGATATGGCTCTGCGATTTTTCAGAACGCATACAACAAAAAAGACATTTTCCATGGGGATGGTGATGATAAACCATAGCGATTTTGGGATTACCTACTGTTATGACCGGTCCGTTTTTTTATTATTATCTGAAAGCAACGTAATCAAAGGACCCATGCACAGTTGTGGTTTATCATGGGCTTTCCCTCCATTTTTTGATGGCTGGATATGGCTGGCATGGGCTTCTGCAGCTGAGGAACTTCCATGTGATCCGCTTTGCCTTGTAACGGTACAGGAAGGGGCCCTCGGTGCTGGCATATCTTAGCTGCCTGGCGCGCTGGCCAATGGGGCCCATGTTGGCCAAAATTTCAACACAAGGAGTGTGGTAAACGATTGGTAAACCTAATATTGTCCATCTTTATGGTTTCATATTTACCACCAATCAAGATGGTAACTCCATTTTTTCATATTTTGTCCATTTTTATTGGTGCTTTTTCAACCATCCCCAGTCATGCTGATGGCAGGTTTCATGACGACTTCCTGAGGTGCCCAGGGATGTCCTTGAGCATGCTGGTAGGCTTCGTAGCCATCCTGGACCAAATCATCCAGCCATATGGGGTTTTATGATTTTTGGGGTTTTATAACCAAAAAAAACATGTACATGTAACATTTTTTTTTGACACTCAACATCTTCTGCAACATGTCTTGATTAAATGATTGGCCAGCCAGTGCAAATTTTGCCAACCCTTGATTGATTTGATTGAGGAGACGTGGAAGGTCTGGAAAATGGATGAAAATTGCAAACAGCCAGTGTGACAACGCCAAAACATGCCAAAACCAGAAAGCTCCAAATGACGCATTTCGACATCCTGGAAAATCCTAGAAATCTGCCATCAACCCACGTCTGGCCCCGTTCCTCCAATTAAAGGCGGCATGCCATGGAATCGATTGGAATCGGCGCTGACTCAAATTGTTGAATCAAGCAATTCAGTGAGGGCTTCAGTGAGCATGAGTTGTTCTAGCCTGGAGTCCTGGAAAACAGAGGATTTTTTTTGATGATTTGGGTATGTGTCAATACCTATAGATACATTTTTAGTGGGATGAACATCCATTTACCAGCTATTTTGGGGTTCACTAGGTACCAGGGTTTTGACCCATCCCCATTTTGAGCATATGATGATCATTCAACAAGTTCTTGTGGGGATCTACTGTGACTTGAGTCGAAGAAATGCTGGGAAAAGGAGTGTTGATTGACCGTGAGGGTCGTACAATTGCTCTAATTCTTTGCCGGAGCCAAGCAGAAGAAGACACGTATGTCCCCAAATTTTGTCTTATAGCTGGGAGCCCTCAATTTTGAAATCCAATTCAAGGCATGTATAGTCAGTTTGGAAGTTGCATCAATCCAGACATGATGTCCCTCAAGAATTCGCTTGAAGTCTGAGAGCGAGCGATTTGCACGTGCCCAAGGGGCACTCCAAAAGCGCCGTGTTGGTGTCATGAAACCAATCCTTCACTCACACGTCCAATTCCAAAACCATGTGCTCAAGCTTGAAATTTAGTCGTTGAAGCAGCTTCTTTGGACCTCCAAAGGCACATTTTCGCAGGACTTTTCGCAGGCATTTGCATCGGAAACGATGAAACGTTCGGACTTCTCGGTCAGAGTCTCAGAATCACTTGTCGAAGTAGTCTGCCTTCGCAGCCAAGGAGTCTTTTTACAGGGCATGATAGCATGATCCGGTTTGTTTTATTTCAACCTATTTCAAATGCTTTAAAAAACACCCAACATGATCCAAAATGATCCTCTGAATCTGCCACGGCAAATCCTAAAAACAGCCTGAAGACCTGCAGCGGCACCTTGACTTTACGCGCCAGGAGATACCCGGAAGAGCTCGACAATGCACAATTCACGGCCTGTGGGTCTGAGCGGAGGAGGATCTTCAGAATTTCGTTCCAAGGTGTCCCAAAGTCAAAGATTGAAGGTCTTGTGAAGATGAGAAGAGTGAACAAATCAGAGTGAATTGAGTGAATGCCAAAAAAAACAATGCGACAATATGACTAAAATTGGCACCATCTTCAACAGATTGGAACAGGAAATCTATTTCAATAGCCATCGGATATCTTTGGTACTTTTCTCTGCCTGATTTCGACATGTTTCGATGCAAATCTCAGGGCTCCCAACGAAAAGGCTGTAATTCACCGGGGTGATGACCTCAGTTTCGGACTCAGAGTCACAAATCACTTCCCAAATCATAGAAATCCCTTCAAACATCCAGCCACAAACATCTGGGTGTGTCGGAAAAATGGGCTATACCATGCTATACCCCAATTGTAGTACTTATACTTCATATATGTCAGAATCTTCATATAATTCGTCCATCTGAGGGAAAATTGCTGATTCACCACGGCATGGATGGCATGGGGTGACTGAGGCTGCCACAAAGGACCAACGCATAAAGATGAGGCCGGTGAGGGTCAATGCGCTGGTCCTGAGGCGTCAAACATGGGCCAGAAAAGTGATGTGATGTGGCTTATCTTGTCTTAATATTGTTGTAAATATGGTTTTATATTGTTTTATATGATGTTTTTATATGTTTTTATGACATCTGAACAGCTTTTTTCACTGCACAATGTGGCAAAACACATCAAGACACGCAGTCTTGCAGCCGCTGGCAGCATCTTGGTCCACCGACATGGAAAGGCTAATCTTGTCAGTTGGTCGATCATAATCCTCGGCGGGTGAAGAAAAACAGCAAAGCTTAGTGTTTCTACCCTTGGGTTGTCGTCTCGGAGTCGCTCTTCCATAGTTTTCCAGTTTGCAGTTTTGGAAATTCAACTGAGCTAACTCACCATGAGATTGTTGATGGACAGCGCCCACTTAAAGTTGGGAGCCTCGGTTTTCGATCCCTGCGAGTGATGACAGCTGTGACAGCTGTGACCAATGGTCACCACATGTCACTCTGCCAGGATCAGATATCAGCACTGAGTGATGCTCCCAGAAATGGATGTAGAAAGGTCCCGCCTCAGCAGAACGTCGCAGGATTTCGCGTAGCGGAAGCAAATTTAAATAGCCGCTCGTCACAGCGAAAATCCATGTTGAAGATGTTGAATTCGCAAGGATAACTTATGAATTCAGACATGTTGATGAGGTATGGAGTGTGTTTCAGAGTGTCTTGTGATGTATTCTGATGAGAAGTTCAAGAACAACTTGACAAAAACCACCTTTGCTGACATTTACGTGGGTTTATATATAGGTTGGACGCCATGATACACCACAATAACTATGGTTTATGGTACTTATAACTCTAGTTAGAAATTGGTTTATAAGCCCCAGCAACTATGTGACCCCTCGGTATCCCTCGCTACTCTTGGCAGAACTGGGTTCTGCACAGGGTGTGTAGCCATTCGTGCCAAGAAGCCGCTGCCCCTAAAAAAGGGGCTGCTGATGTGGAATTCCGAATCCCGAACTATGAATTTTGGCTATCCCCAAATTCACTCAGAAATAGCTAAAGTTAATCTAGATCATATATAGACCATCCGCCAATTGGAGGTTGATTATTTCTATCACGTTAAATTGCTCAAGAACTGAAGGATCAACATTCTATGTGTTTTCTGGATTCCTTCTCGTGGCTTTGTACATTACCAGCAACGGAACATGGGTAGGTCTTGTGTCCACACCCAATTGCTGCACACATATTGGGATAACCATTGGTTTGGTACCAGTCCGTTCCTGTTTTTCCAGCCACATGTTTTTCCATGGTGCAAACTCTTGGGGATCAGTTGGAGTTGTGAATACATCTACGTTGTAAACTGTGTGGCCAAACACTTCAGATTCTTGGAAGATTCTCTGATCATCTCTGATCCTCAAAGCTCAAAAAAGGTGTCCCAGTGGGCACCCTTTCAAGCTGTTCTGGAGTGGCCTTAGCAACACGATAACAAACTCCACTGCGCAGGACCATTGGTGCAGGAGTGGTTTGGGGGCTTCTGATACACTGATTTTGTTGCTTGATGAGGGCAAATCTGAACAAACAGTTTTACTGAAGGCATTCCTTCAAATGTACCACATAGGCACTTTAATACATTTATAACCCATTTATATGTATATAGCATATACTTTTGGATGCATTTGTGACTCACCAAGAACGTCCAAGAACTTAACCAGCTTGCTTGATCCTGCGTCAACATAAAAAAAAAAAAAACATCCAACATCCTACCTGCCTGCTTTCCCATCTTTCCCTGCATTCTCCACCACATGCTGCAGGGTTTTCATGTCCACCCAACAAAAATCCACAGCTACAGGTGGCTTCTCTATCGCTGGGAATTCAACGTGCTGGCTGCAATCATTGCTCCAATGCCTGGCTCACCAAGAGACCCACAATGTGAAGCCACGTGTGAAAATTCGGGGAAAACAGGGGATTGGAAATTGCTGCTATGGGAAAATTTTTCGGTCTCACTTTTTGAGCCAAAAGAAAAGTGATCATCAAACTGGATATAGTTGGAGCCGATCTTAGAGACTCTCAGTCAATTGAATTCAGCCCAGAGTCATCCCAAATCTGGACCAAATCTGAACGGAACAGTGAACTGAAGGGCTGCTACAAAAAGAACACAACAATTTGTTTAATATTATATAGATCTATACTTTGTGGGCCCATATATTTTTGTCATATATGGGGTCATTAACATTTGGTATATGAACCATATGATCATTTACATGTCACAAAATCACACAAAAAGGCACTTTTTTGCCTGCTAGATATCATTAGATATCCATGTCCGTTGCTTAAACGCCCTCATGTCATATAGTACCCTCTGGTAAACATACAAAAAGCTATGGAAAATCACCATCTTTAATGGGTAAATCAACTAATATCAACTATTTCTATGTGCCATATTTTCACTAGTTATGTCAAATTACCAGAGGCTAAATTTGGAAAATCATGGCAAATCCCACCTGCCGCAGCCCCGGCTGCACCCATGCAAGCGTTTCCTCAAAGGCGGAACAGTTCTCCAATGAGTGCAGATCATGTCGTCTCCAATGGGGAAACGCTGGGAATGACCATCCCGAAGCGGGTTTTTTCGGGATTTTTCCGCTGATTTTTTTTGAAATCTCAGAGATCTAATCAGCATGAAAAAAATGCATCGGAAACAATATATGATGAAAGCAGTGATCCTAATTTTTTTTCCAAAGCCTTCAACAGCTTCCCAAAAAAATGGCCAACATCTGACATGTGCTACCTGAGTCAATGATAGCATATGATAGCATGCTTCCAGCGTGTTCAATTTTGTGTTCTAGCGGAAACACCATGTAACAATTTATGGAAAACACCATTTTGGTACCAAAAAAAATCACCCAAAAAACCGAGAAAAAAACTGTAACCCAAGCCTTTACCATCCCAAGTGTCTCAAGAAACACAACTTGGGTCCCAAGCGAACTGTGGCACCACCCGTTTCTGGCTCAGTGGCGATTTTGTGTTCTGCCCACCTAGGGACATCTAGGGACCACAGGGGCATGTCTCACCACTTTCCTCCCAGGATGTTACAAAAAACATCAAAAACCACTATAACCCCAAACAGCTATACAACCAATTTCAACCATGTAATCATTTGCCAATGTTTCACTAGATAAACAATATAATCAATATATATAATCAATATATAATCAATATATAATCAATATATAATCAATATATAATCAATATATAATCAATATATAATCAATATATATATATATAATCAATATATATAATCAATATATATAATCAATATATAATCAATATATAATCAATATATAATCAATATATAATCAATATATAATCAATATATAATCAATATATATATATATAATCAATATATATAATCAATATATATAATCAATATATAATCAATATATATAATCATATAATCATCTTGTAATCATCATAATGGATCAATATCATTAACCCCCTATATGAACACGAAAAACGGACACGCTCCGGCCTCCGAAGCTGGTTGCTCTGGGCCAGGACATTGGCGGTGTGACCTTGGTTCTCCTAAAAAATCAACAGTTCATATCGGGGTGTCCTAAGTCATAGGGGTACCCAGAATTAATCATCCATGTTTTTATCGGATTTTCCCAAAAATAAACCATCCATGTTAGTAGGTACATCATAAAAATGGATTTTCCCCCACAAAAATTGGCTTCATCATCATTTTCCCCCCAAACAAAAACCATGAATTCGAAGTCGCCCCATGGAATTTTTCGAGGGAAAAACGCTGGGTTTCCGGACAGGAGGCCAAGATGTAGTTCCGTGGTTGTACCGCCCAGGCGAATCGAACGAAGAGTCCGCTGTAGAGGATCTGAGGAACAACCCGGAAAAACTCTCCATGGTTTTCCCACTGATTTGAGAATATGATTGAAACATTGGGAAAACATGTTGAAACATGTTGAAACATTGGTTTTTCCCAATATTTGAGAGTTTGATGATTGAAACATGTTGAAAAACACCATGATTCAACTGATCAAAAAACGGTGTGTTTTTTTTTTGCCTCTTCAAGCAAATTAAGAACCCAGTTGCGGGTGTAAAGCATCAGACTTTTTCACACATCACATGCGTTCATAGATGGGTGTCGCAGCTGTTGCTCATTTGATTTCATTTGAAATAGTTGTGTAGCTCAGCAAATGTTGATGTCAAAGGCATTTTTTCCTGTATCATCCTGTATAATTATCATCCACTTTCATAGGATTTTCCAGAAAAACCATTCATCATCATCATCCATCATGGGCTGCCCTCATTTTAGGCTTTGGCCGCGCCTGTGTGGCGGACATCCGTTCATTAATGATCTCGGGCCCTTTCAGTGCAGCATCGTACCTGGGGCGACCAAAACGACCAAAACTTCTGTTGAAAATAACGAGATTTCATAATATGTTTGAAGATCTTTCCAGTTATGATGCTATTTCATGATGATTTTTCCAGTCATGATATTTCTAGATCAGACTGAGTAGCCGAGTAGCCTCAAAGTTTATGTTTGATGTTTGTTGTTATTTCTAACCACAGCTGTTTTTTGCTCACAACTAGCGTTTTTTTTTTGCCCAGCTGCATCCCAGAGGCGGCCAAGCCCCAGTTCGCAATAGGGCCCCAGAAGTGCGTTGTCATGGGGCCCGTAGGCGAGTTGATAAACGCTGCCTGGGCCCCGAAACGACCATGGAAAACCACGACCAAAATCATGGACGTCCCGAAAAAAACAGCGCAGCAAAAGTGGTTTGAAAAACGTGTTGCAACAGCTAAAATGGACGAAATGGATATATATATATATTCACATATATATATATATTATGTGATTTATGAGTTTCTCTGAAAATGGGATCAAGTTCAACAGACTATCAGACTATGATCATTTTTTCCTGTTTTCAAACGGCCATTGTAGATCCAACGTTCGTTCAGAAACCTGGGCCCGGCACCAACGCCATGCTTCGAGAAGCCACAGATTCGTTGTGAGATGGGTGGACCAGCTGCAGCGACTAACTCGGACTGGACAAAAAGTGACCCAGGTGGTCATCAGATATGGTTTTTATTGGATGTCCCATTGTTTTTTTTGGGGGATTTACCATGATTGAAAATTTGTGGGAATAAAAACAACTTTTCAAATCATGTTCAGCAAATCCAACTTGACAAAGTTGGGAAACATATATGGATCTTCACGCTTCATCTTTCATGTGACATCAGTTGTCAGAATGTTCTATGTTCTACTTTAAATTAGGATAAATTAGGGTATGTATATCCGCATCTTTCGCAGACACACAAATCATGCAATCTAGACCTATCATGACCTGTCTAAGAGTCTATGATCAGGTGGCTACTCCTATAACACATAGGATCCATTTAAGTGCTGCTAGAAAAATGGTACTCCATGGATCCCAGCAATATACCCCAGTCATGTTAGCATTAATATACCAGCACCAGCCGGATCCGGAAAATGGGTAATGATTCCCTCTGCATTCCCTCTGCAGCCACTAACACTTCATCTTCAGGTATCTCCAGGCTCCTTTTGCTCACATCTTACACCGCCGATCTTTTCACTGTGTTTGGAATGAGATTCCTGCTTGCCACTGTAAGTTCTTAAGTTCTGTTACAGCTACGGCGACAGCTTTGTGTGAAGAGCTGCAAAAATACCATCGCTCCTGGCAATCGAGGATCTACTCGCGACATAACTCGTATCAACGACAAGTCTCTGAATGAAAGTCGTGTGGCGTTTCTCACAAGTTCTGCGAGCTAGAATCCATCGCTTGCTAAAATCAATGGATTGGTTTAAGGGAAAATCTACAGGAAACCATGGATTTTACCATTAGATATAGGGGTTTCCTGTAAATTTTCCCTTAAATCAATCCATTGCTAAAATGGTCAGATGGTTTTTGCAAGAAAATCCAATCGCTGCGAGTCATTCACCACTCGAGCATTGGTTTCTGAAAGAGTCACAGTCCGGTAATACGGAACGTTACCAGAAAATTGTGCACCTCTTTCCCGCTTCAAACAGCACTTAGGCACTAAACCCAGGAGGCCATTAAAAAAACCACCTCGAACTTTAGTAAACAGTGGTAAATTTTAAGGTGAATCTTCCATGTGAATCGAATTTCTGATGTGATTTTCTCTGATATAGGCCATGTAGAGCCTCCGGTCGATTGAAATCTCTTTCTTCGGCAGCTGAGTTGTGCAACAGCACGACACTGCACCAATCTCCTATGCTTCGAGAGCAAACTGTTCCAACAGCGGCTGCGGCGCGTTTCGGATGTCGTGGCAACAAATCCCACATCTAAAACACCACAAAGCCAGTCACTGACGATGAATAAGCACTCAACAATCTCAAGATATCGAAGACCTCAACATGTTTACTGGTTGAAGTTGAACACCAAATTTTGACCCTCTTTTTCTCATTTGAACACATTTTCCCAGATTAATCATCATGAATCACTGTCATTTCGTTGACATATCATATGGGGTCCCATATGACATCATATGACATCCTGCATCAGGGCGGAAGACAAAGCCTGATGTATTCCTGGGCAGCTGCTGCAGTCAGCGGAGAGACCACAGTGTCGAGTCGTTACGTAACGCGTCAGCTGGGAACTGATCTGCGACGCGTGCTGCAGGTCATTTCCCCCCGGGACGTCTTGGCTAAACGTGTAGCAGGCCCGGGGTCCCCAGAAGTTTCCAGGGTTGAAATCTGGTGTCACATCTGGAACACCACAAAATTGCCGCAATGCCATGCGATTTGTAAAACCTCCGCTCTTTGTAAGTCGACGCCGACGTCCGGCTCCTCGCAAGCCGAAGTCAATAAGTGACACACGCAGGCAACCTTTGACAAGACATCACTGACTCATTTCAAGGTATGGAACGAAACCATATCTTGATGTTTTTTTCATCTTTTTTCAGATCTAAACTTAGGCTTTCTCTGCTGCCAACGTGAAAACTCCCTGCAGTAGACTACAAGAGACGATTCCTGTCTACAAGCGAATTCCCGACAGATTATGTCAGTCCCAATGCACTTCCTATGCACTTCATCCGGTCCCCGATAAAGCAAAGGCCATTGTTCAGAAACGACGTGGGGCCGTTCTCCAAAACGAAGTTTGAGAAATTTCATGGTCTGAGGCCCTCCGAAGGATGACCAAATCATGGCCATCTCAGATAGAAATCCATGAGCCACCAACAATCTCCGGACGCCTTGGTGAAATGATGTCATCAAATTTCATCAAATTTTCATGGAAATTTCATGAATTTGGAACTCTGGAAATCTATGGAAATCTGGATTCGTGAAGCTGCAGTTTTCTTCGCTGCCGCTAAATCCAGGTGATGATCACCCCATTTTTTTTCCCAGTGCAGGTGCCTCCAAGTTTTGTGATCCAGGGAAGTAAATCTATACGAATCCATGATCTATGATATGGATTTGTGAACTGTCAACAAATCAGTTGGTTTATCACATATATATTTTCCTCTCAAACAACATTGCCTTTGGTAATCTAACATAGTAGAAAATCCAAGGTCTTTTTTCCAGTAAATCATTGAACTAAATGACTCATGGCTTTTTAATCCGTTTATAGATGATTTTTCCATCTATAAGGCTCCAAAATCTATTTATATTATAGATTAATTATTATCTTTCACCTATAAACCTCCTTTAATCCCCCATTTTCAGAGGCCCTGGCCCACAAGACGCGTGTCCAGAAGGGAGAACCTCACGGTTTGTCAAAGAGAGCACAAGGAGAAGCAGCCCTGAGAAAGCCGCTATGGGTTCCATATACATCCATATACATGACATCACTTCCAGAAATGCAGAATAAGGCAGATATGATTATGGAATGATATATCATGATATACCCTCTGGTTATGACTAACAGTTCGCCATGGTTTTTCGATGGCCGATGGATGATTTTCCCAGCGAACGAAACCTCCATAAACATGGTTGGGATTTTCCATATATTTTCCATGGCAAACTGTTAGTCATAACCAGATGGTAGATGAATTTTTAGGTGGCACATGTTGGAACCATGTCTGAAAATCGTCCAAAAAAAAATGCTCCGATAGCCATTGACCCATCCAACATGCGCCTTCATGGGAATATCAACGCCCTTGAAGGGAAGATACAGGTCCAAGTCCAGGTTTGAGTAGCGCTGAGACATCACGTCGGTCTCATCTTCCTGCAAGAAAACAATCAAAACATCGTTGGCGCAAGAAATTTCATCGAATTGCGATGACGAATTCTTTGTTGCTGACACGATGACGAATGGCGACGATGTTCTTCCACCATAATCCTCACTGCATCTGGGCGTCCCTTCCCAAATGTCCTGATACTGATCCTGTTCCTCCTCCTCCTCATCATCATCATCATCATCACCATCACGGTGATAGTCAGTCGTGTGCATAAGTCATTTTACTGAACTATATCCGCAAAAACATCTAATCTGTTCTGCATTCTATGATTTTCTATTACTATTACCACACCTAATAATGTCAAATGGGTGAATTGGTTAAAATTGGTTGATGGTGAATATTAGTTTAATTCAATTCTAATGCATATTCTATTGGTTACCATCTGGTTATTTAACATAGCCATGGAAAATCCCAATTTTTTATAGGTAAAACATCTATAAATGGGCCATTTTCCATGGCTATGTTAAATAACCAGAGGGTAAATTACCCAAAAACACCAATCCAACCCTGCAACGATCAGCTCCTTCTCAGATAGGCTGGCGACGTTCGCAGCATGGGCATGGAGAAGCATGATTTGGCCAAGGCCAAGGCACTGGTCCTGGGCTGAAAAAAAAAGGGGGTACACAGGCAGTGAATTCTGGATTTCAGGGCTGAGCTTTGGGATTTTCGGAGAGTTTCTGACTTTCTGAGTCTTCCAAAAGCGATTGTTTTTTGGTCACATCAACTTGAATCCAACTGGATACATTGAGTCAAACTTCCAAAATCTTCCAAAGATATCTGCAAAAAATCAAGGGCCGGTTTTTTTCGGGTTGATCTTCGTTGACCGGTCAAAAAATGGGGCGCCGGGCCTCCAAACGATCCTCCCTGCTTTGTCCTTCGAGGCATGGATTTTCAACATCTGACACTGAAAACAGACCCACATACGGAGGTTTTCCAGGAGAAATTCTCTGGTTCTCATGGCTGAGGACGATCCTCAGGGTCATTATGGTCATTGTTTCCGTGCACATTCTTTGTGGATGTAGACTTTCCAGATCAGGCAGTTTTCACCACATTCTGTTGATGAAGGCAGGTGCACAAAGAGATCATATCTTCTGCCACACAAAAACTGAGAATCCATGAGAATTCATGGAGAATTTGGCATTTCAGAGGGAAACCCATGGGTTTTTTCCCCAATGAAAAAGGGCCCAAAAAGTATGGGACTTCCAGCCCTGAATATTCCCATCAACTTCTGGCCAAAACAAAAACAACAGCGCCACGTCTCCTGAGTCAGACTTTGTGGTGGCATCGGAACCAAAGTCCTCCTGGCTTTCGGAAATGTTTTTTGAAGATCTTGAAGGGAAAAACCCTATGTTTGGATTTTCTATACAAGTTGAACTACCATCCAAATCTTTGGGGCTAAAACCGGTTTTTCGATGTTGGCTTCTATCCCATTCTGGGCCAAGCCTGGAACGACTTTCCTGGATGGCCAGCCGTGTGTATTTTCAGAAGAGCTGCCTATGCCTGTTGGTTGATGTGTTACCTGTGTTGGTTTGAATGAAAACTCCCAACGTTGGATGAAAACTATGAAAATATGACCGGAAAAAACCGGTCAATCACTGGGCCGTCAGTGTGGGTTGCTGAGTTTTTTTTGTTGCGAACTTGGTTTCGGGGAAACTTGGCGTGGACCCACATTTAGATGACATTTACCAACCATGCTATCCTATCTTCGATCTTGGAAGACAATCATCCCATGCGAAAAACCGGTTGAAACCATGGTAATCACCATCCCAGATGCTCCATGTATGGAATATTTACCTACATTTGGGCCATTTTTGGGATAAATGTAGGTAAATATTCCATACATGGAGCATCTGGGCATGCTAATCTGATCAATCCGTCAGCATTCCGTCAGCTCCTTGTCGGAAGGAAGCCGTCCTGTGGCCCGAATCGGATCCCGAAAATCGGATCCCCCAAATTTTGGTGGCAGCCCCAGAGCCAAAGGTTTTTCAAATCACATGTGCCGTCTGGTTATGACTCACAGTTTGCCATGGAAAATATGGAAAATCTCAACCATAAATGGAGGTTTCTAGGTGGGAAAATCATCTATAAGTGGGCCATTTTTCCATGGCTATGTTAAATAACCAAATAATAACCAAAGGGTAGTTCCTTGTCTATAGTTCAGGAAATAGATCAAATGGCTTTGTCATAGGCCGCAACAAAACCATGGTTGATCATGATTTTCCCCATTAGATTTGCAACAAAAACTGTACATAAATCATGGTAAACCATTTTTTTTGTGGGTGTCCTATAGTCAATGGTACCCCCCAAATCATCCAAGTCATGGATGACCAGGGAATAGTATTGACAATACTGTCCTTTTGGTAAAAATAGGTTTGGGCCGGGAGCTGGTTAATCCCATCTATCATCATAGAAACCTGTTGTTAAAGGGGTAAACCTTCAAGAAACCCCTCTATTTTCATCAACCAACCAATGGGAATTTGGGACATCTATGTGTATTGAAACCCAAACCAGGTCCCGGGGATCCATATTTTTCGAACCCCCCACATCTCCATTTTTCGATCCTCGTGTCCCACGTAGCTCATGCTCTCCATGAGCGAAGGTGCAATGGGCGAAGTTGCAGGATCCCTGGGGGAAAAATCCAGCAGGAAAATCTGGGGAAACATTGGCAACATCTGGGAAAATCCGTGAAAAAACCATGAAAAATCCATGGAACATCTGGAAAATCTGGAAAATCCATGGAACATCTGGCTGGGATTTTTTGGATAAATCTGTTTTTTTGGATTCTTCGATGACTTTTTGGAGCCCCAAATCTGAGCCTTTTCGCCGAAAAAAATCAACAAATTCTGGGCAGTTTTTTCCCCAGCTGGTAACTCGGGTGTATCATGACGATTGGGACATGGGTTGGAATAGTGTTGCTGGGTGGGTCAAAAATATTTTTTTTGCCCCCCAGCAACGGATGGTGTAATGATGTGTGATGTCCTAAACATACCTTTTCTTTGTCTATTGGACTCTCCATTCTTGACAACCTATGTTAGTTGCAGCTGAAAACATCTCCTCTGGCGAATGAGGAAATCGCCCAAGAATCTGTTAAAACCCGCGTTTTTTCAGGACGTCATCGATATTTGAATCAAATGAATCCAACAGCGCTTTGGGAACAGAGTTGATCATTCCGCATCACTCCATATGTTACAACCGATGGTTCCGGTTCCATGGAAGTTCCATATGGTTCCTATATGGTTCCATGTCAATCTCCCGAAACAGGCCGAAACAGGCGCCTTAGCCCACTTCCGGCATAGCCTAGGATCAGCGGAGGCGATCGGAATCTTTGGTCCAAGATTTTTTTCTTCCAGATCCAAGTGCTGTGTATCCCCAAACATATCCATTAAACTCACTAAATAGTCCATATGTTAGAATATTCATATCATATATAATTGTATATACACATATTTCCATGATCATTCAAAAAATCCCCGATTGATCTACACCTTCCCATTGCTGTAGCTTTCCGCCCTCTTCTGTTGGCGCTTAGCTCGGGACATGGTTTTATAGAGATCTGGCTTTGGAACCAACTCCTCACAGGCCGATTCAATCGGCCGATTGACATTTTTTTTCGCATGGATCCTGAGCTATACATCTAAGATTCTCCAAGATTGACATAGATATACATAGATTGAGCCTGAGACCCATGTTGAATTATGTTGAATCATGTTGAATCATGTTGATACGTCTCTTGGTGGACACCTTAAATTTGTAGGACGTCGTAAACCAGACCATCAAAATCAGCCCATTCTCCTCTCCGCCATGGGCAAAGCCTCGGCTTCGGGGGAGATGGGTTACCCATCAAAATGACGAATCCCATGACGGATCCCGCTGGTGCTGGTAGATTAATGCGAACATGACTGGGGTATATTGATGGGATCCATGGAGCACCATTTGTCTAGCAGCACTTAAATGGATCCGTCATGGGGATGTAGATCGGTAGATCCCAACAAAGGGCAGGGAACTTTCCGAGCTGCCCGAAGGGCAGGCTTCCAAATCACTGAGCACAGGACTGCACAAGCGGCCACGCTTGCACTTGCCAACACCTCAAGATTTCGGAAGCTTTCCGCCTGCAACTTGACATGTGCCTTGCATTTATCTTCTCAAGTTTGGGGCTTGAGCATCACGGATGTTTGAAACCTTCCAAACATAGCCCTTATATTGTGCATAAGTTTAGCCCAAGGTCTCATAAGTACAGCTGTAATAAAAAGGGCTCTCTTCCTGAGCTGCAAACTGTGGAATTTACACATCTCCGTCTTTGCCATCTTCTCCTGCAATTTTCTGCAGTCCGTTTGCTGCAAAACTGACTGTCTGGGTCTTGAATCTTTGGGGTTTCCCAATTTCAGAATGGCTTCGACTCAAAACTCAAAATCAAGTTTCATTTCATGACCGGGATCATTATTCCCAATATATATATAGTATATGGAAAGTCATAAAAGTCATGTTCCAAACCACCAACCAGATGATTTTCTCATGATTGCAGCCCAGACTTCCCCAGCCTGATTGGCCTTTGTTGGTGCCATTGCGCCACTTCCGATTATAAAGTTGGCGCTTCACAAATAAAATCCTTGAGCACAAAGTCTCTGCGATGTCGAACCCCCCAGGAGATAGAAAGGTGAAATCCTAGTAGAATAGTGGGACCTACTACTTTCCTTGATATTTTTAAGGGACTTAATGGTGATTATTCATATTATTCTAGATTAGTGATTAAGCCTTCAAGTTGGCATTCGATCTTCATCCTGCATCAGCCATCATCAGCCAGCATCTTTTTTCCAAACCCAGCCGTGGCTTCCCTGCAGCTGCGGTAAGCTGCGGTTATCCCAGCGACGGGTTGCTGTCTGATTGAAACCGGTCTCTCTGCTTTTAAGGAGACACTTAAGACTAACTGATAAATTTTTCTGGCCAGCACTGAAGACCAACTTCTGAATCAACTACAATTGAGATTTTTTTTGTTGTTTTCTTTTCTGCATTTTCTGCCAAAAGCACTCCAAGATGTAGATGAATCAGCTGGCTTCGCAATCTTCGCCCTGGGACTCATGGCCATCTTCTCATGAGCCTGGAAATGACGAGTCGTGGGCAAATCCAGGGGGATTTGCCGGTATGGATATTTCGAAGATGGGATATCTATGGATATCTCAAATGATTTTCTTTGCACTATGAGATATCCAATATCCATGTCACTATCGTTAGATGGGTAGTGACATAGCCTGACACTAGATCTATAGGATATCTGACACTATTGGATATCTGTTAGGCTATGTCACTATGAGATCTGTCATGACAGAGAATGGAACAAGACCCAAAGATCTTTGGGGCGATACGATGGTACACTGAGGACTAATCTGGAATAATGACCAGCCGCCAAACGCTTCAGGGGTGAAGCACACCAAAGTGGCAGGTTATGCGTCAGAGGACATTCAATTTCTGCATGTGCTGCTTACCAGGTCAAAATTCATGCTAATGAACTTGGACATCGGGAGGTTGGCTGCCCATTTGCAGCTTCAGATCCCCAAAAAACCTTCAAGTGGTTTCACTCCAATGGTTCCAGTGTCCCAAGAAAAGTCAAATTAGTATTTTCTAGTGGTTTCCATTCCCATTAACCTTAGTATTAATCACTAGTCTCAAGTTTCTCAAGTCAAAGTGGTTCCAGTCCAGCAAAAATCACCCAAAAAAGGCCTTGGTTGATGGTTTCATCCCCTTAATCAATGGATTGGTGTAAGGGAAAATCTACACCGGAAACCATAGATTTTCCCATGAAATATTAGGGGCTTTCACCAGTAAATTTTCCCTTAAACCAATCCATTGAGATCAGAAAATTCTGAAATATCTGTGAATACCATCTGGTTATGACTAACATAGCCATTGAAAATCACAATTTTTAATAGGTAAACCATCTATAAATGGGCCATTTTCCATGGACCAACTTTCACCAAGGAAATGGGCAAATCCGTCCACCTTTGTTTCGCTGCCATCCCTCATCCCCTGCGCCAGGAGTTTGCCCTCCTGGCCAGCGGGGCCATTTTTTTAAAGATCCCACGTTTTTCAAAAAAAACTGAAACAATTGGTATATATACTATATATACTATATATATACTATATATACTATATATATACTATATATACTATATATATACTATATATATACTATATATATATACTATATATATATACTATATATATATATACTATATATATACTATATATATACTATATATACTATATATATAGTATATATAGTATATATATAGTATATATAGTATATATAGTATATATAGTATATATACTATATATATACTATATATACTATATATACTATATATACTATATATACTATATATACTATATATACTATATATACTATATATACTATATATACTATATATACTATATATACTATATATACTATATATACTATATATACTATATACTATATATACTATATATACTATATATACTATATATACTATATATACTATATATACTATATATACTATATATACTATATATACTATATATACTATATATACTATATATACACTATATATATACTATATATACTATATATACTATATATATATGGAATCCCAACTTAGGATATTGAAATGAACTATATTTGGTTGAACTATATATCAAAGATATTGAAATGAACTTTCAAACTATCCAAATAGTATATGTATATAAAACATATTATATATATATATAGATAGATTGATGGATAGATATATATATATATATATTCTATAGAATTCATAAATCATAACTATATCTAGTTAGGGAGTTGGGATCCAATGTTTCTCTCGGTTCGGGGAAACTGTCCTGCAACCAGGTCCCGAATCTTGTCGCTGCCGAAGGGACCCCCTCTCATGGCCTAGGAGTTTCCAACCGTTCCAGCTTTGAGGATGGAAAATGATGGAACATGAGGATGATTGATGAAATACATATGAAATACCAATTTTCAAATGGACAAATGATGACAAATGGTTTCTGGTATTTCTAATGTATTTCTGGTATTTCCAATCAAACAAAAATGCTCAAATGAGGAGAGTTGTTTGATGATGTTTGATGGGATTCATGACTCATATGACCATGACCATATTTAAGATGGTTTATTTAAGATGTTTTCAAATGGATGGTCAAAGCATATTAGATTTTGGTTTCCATGGTTTATGAATGGATGGTTCATAGATTAATGGAGGTTTCTGGATGGAAAATTCTGGAAAAATGGGATCCACAGGATCCCAAAGTGGGTTTCAAGAGGATTTTTCTTCCGTCGAATGACTTGGATGATTTGGGATATCACCATTCTAAGAAACCTCCAGATATATGGGTGTGTCTTATTGGTGTGTCTGAAAGTTTTTCACATGTTAAACTGTGGAGCAGACACCCAACTTTTATGGGCTATATAAAGGCTATATGGGGATGGGTCAAAACCCTGTACCCCTGTAGTTCACATCAAAATAGCTGGGATTTATGGATGTTCATCCCACTAAAAATGGTATCTATAGGTATTGACCCATACCCATATATCATCATTTTATCATTCTATCACTATTGTTTAGTGGCCGGGGGTTATTTGTTGAGTGGACTGGGTTACGCACCCGGAACTTACGACCCCAGCAGATCTCCATGGCATCATGGCATCCCTGAGAGCTGGACCAGGTCATAAGCAGTTTTGCCACCATCATCTTGAGCCTGAGCCGATGAAGTAGGAAACTTGGGGGGGTTCCAGGTTTCCAATGGTTTTCAGATATAGAGTTCGTACTTGGTTCCATGATTTTTCTACATTTAGCCTTAGAGTTTAAGTGTATCCAACATATTCCACTGGCTAACTCCGCCAGTTTCGGCCAAATTTTGCCAGTCTCAGGACCAATTCGCGCTGAGTTTCCCACCATAATGTCAGCGTCGCCTTGCTCCACCAGCAGCGCGCACATCTCCTGCAATTTGGGGATGGTTTATTTAAAACGCCCATTTTTTGGATGATTTTTCGGGATGGTTGGCTATTGGGTTTACCATACAATACATTGTGTTTAATATTGGGTTTATAATATAATATTTACCATAATATATATATAATTATATATATATATATGTATATTGGGTTTACCACTATATATATATAGTAATGAAAAAAACAGTAAGTCTGTCTCCAGTCAAAACATATGCAACTTGACGCCTACATATTAGTCGTCAACTGACGTCTACATATATTATCAATAATTCTTTTCAGCTTTGAACATTGCTTTGATGGCACAAAATATCCAACTGAACGCCAAACGTGGCAATTGGCTCCTCCAAGCCGTTTCCTGCCGCTGACATCAAGGGCGTTCCTGAGCACTTAGAAACTCATGGGACGTCATGGGACATATGCTGTGCTATGTCAAACTTGATATGAGATCCAGTTTAATATCAACAGCAAATATGGGGCCGAACATGGGGCACTGCTATATCTGATATGAGATCCAGTTGAATTAACATCATTAAAAATATATGATATTAGATCCAGTTGAATTGACATCATTAACAATATTTGATGTTAGATCCAGTTGAATTGACATCATTAAAAATATCTGATATTAGATCCAGTTAAATTAACATCAAAAAATATCTGATATTAGATCCAGTTAAATTAACATCAAAAAAAACAACACAACAAAAACAGTGGTCTAATATCAAAAAACAGTGGTCTAATATCAAAAAAAACCGTGGCATTTTATCTAATATCATCTTTTTTAAAATTAACAACAAAACAGTGGTGTTTTTATTATGGGCCAATCCCATCATCAGCTCCCTGAGGCCCTGAGGTTGCTACGACCCGTCTTCGAGGGTCGATTCACATCGGCTCCAAGGTCCAAGAGGGCCTTCACACTGTCCAGCTGCCTGAGCTCCGCTACGGTGACCTTTAAGGGATACTAGGGGTTATTCCCATGACTATCTAGGAAACCTCCACATCTGTCCATAATGACACCAGGATGGGATTGATGGGATCTTCATCCAGTGTAAAACACAGTGTTTAGTGATACCATGCAAGCCAAAAAAACAACGGCTTCGCATCGAAGATCTCCAAATTGAAACCAGAAATGCCGAGGCTTTGAGTCGCTGAGAGTCTTGGCCCCAAAGTGGATACCACAACATATGGTGGTAGAAAAATTTGCGTGGCTTTCGCCAAAGTGATCCTCTGCAAAACTGTGGAATCAAAAAACATGTGGATGCAAATCAATGAGATCCCCTGCCGAAACCAAACGGGAAATATATGGGCGGTTTCACCGTTTCACCTGAAAAAAATCGATGAATCGATGTCTGTCGGCATTGGGGGACCATGGGAAATCATCATAGTTGGATAGGAAAAAAACATAACTTTGAAACCAGCCAGCTCGGTGAAATACACATTCTAGCCCCCCAGCTTTAGTGGTTCAGTCACCATATGTTAAAAGTTAAGTTAAAACATCACTGTCATCACTGGTAAAATTATGACCACAATTTAGTCAAATGTCATCAAATGTCCATCTTTTTGGTGGTTGCTGTAGTTGCTCAACCTGTCATTTCAATGTCCCATGTCATCCCATGTCCCCCAACCTGTTCCTCACAGCGTATCGAACCGCCGTCCAGCCTCAGTCGGTTCGGAAGACTGCATCAAAAATGGCGGCAACTGGGCAGCCGTGGTTGTTTTCCTGCCTTTTTCTTGCATTTAACGTGGGTAAAACAATGAAATGTTATTAAACTATCCCCCAGTCATCACCATGTTTATAGGCGGTATGTTTACCATTCCCAAATGGGTGGTTTATTATTGATATTATTGTACGTTGTTTTACCCACATTACTTTTTTGTGCGCAACCAAGGAGCCATAGGCGTCCTCAGCATCGATATCAGCACCTTTCTCAACGAGCTCCTTCACCTGTCGCGCTTCAAAGGACAACAGAATGTCGTGCTTATAGCAGGGTGTATCACCACTATTGTTGGCGTTGGGTTTCAACTGTTACAGCCAAGTTGATTGTTGGCTTGTATCATATACATTATATCCTATTGTATCCACTTGTTGGTTAAACTTCACTGCTTCATGCTCTTGGCTTTGCATCTGCTATTGCTGGTACTGATCTGGTACCGCCAGGTGCTATTGATTGGGAAACACTGGGTTTCCACATTCAAAATCATCCAAAAATACAGAGATTTCATGGGGCTTCCAGGTTTCCTGCAGATTTTCACTTCCTTAAACCAATGCTGGGATGCGTATCCCACCCAGTTCTATATTTTGGGTTGTTCCTCATATCTCCAAGTTCCGATGGTCGAACAACAGAAACATCGACTCTACCTACAACCCATGCCTCAAATATTGCAACTTTGGGTTCTTTCCCATTTTTAGGCAGACACAAATAGCATCTATATATATATATATTTATATATATATATATATTGTTGCCTTCAATATATCCCTTTAACATCCCTTTGGTATCCCTTTCATATCCGATAGAGTAACTCCCCCCAGAAGATGGAAATGTAACTTTTAGAATCGGATTTCACTTTCTATCTCTTTTGGGCTTGCCATTCAGAATATCGCCTACAATATATCCCCCGTTACCCTCTGGTAAACTCACAGTTTGCGAACTGGAACATCACCATATCTGATAGGTAAATCAACTATTTCTATGGCCATTTTCAGTAGTTATGTCAAATTACCATATTTCAGTTTAACCAAAATATAGTAATCACCATTTCTATGACCATATGGCAATTAGTTATGTTAAATTACCAGAGGACATAGGTCATATGCCCACGAGAACGACCAACCCACGGCCGGTCTCCGGTTTCAGTGTGCCTTTGCCGTGTCTCCGAGGTAGGCTGCCTGCATGAGCTCAGTACAACCACCTGAGGTCAAAAGAGCTGGGAAAAGCTGAAAGAATCGTGAGAAAATAATAGACACGATATGACAGGATAATGATATTCATAGATATTTATTGAATATGTTTGAAAAACATCAAGTTGAATATGATGACTTTGATGTTATATCATTACACTAGATAATAGTAGGTATAGACAATCACTTAAAAAAATGTATTATCCATTCACAGATGTTCAACTTTCAGCACCAAGAATGTGATCAATAATAACAGCTGTATGACCTTCTGAAACATCATAGGTACCCTCTGGTAATTTAACATAGCTATTGAAAATGACCATTTATAGTGGATTTTCCCATTAAAAATGGTGGTTTTCCATAGTTATGTTAGTTTACCAGAGGGTATCCAAACCATCATCCAACATCGTTGCTTAAAGTCCACTGGTGAATCACGAATTTTTTAAAAAATCCCTCTCACATTGCCATCGTAAATCGGGAACACTCTGAATGAAACTTGAATTGTGGAGATGTACTCAGATGTACCAGCACCAATTTTCACATATGTCACATATGTCACATAATCCCACCATCCAACATATTAGGGTTTCTCTGAACATAGAAATCTCCTGAAATCAGAAAAGATCATCAAATTTTCCCCATGAACAAATAGCCATTAGAACCAAATACAGTCGTTCTCCTCGTCGTTTTCGGACACCGGTTAGCCATCTCTCCCCATCGTAAATCGCCATCGTTTTTTCGTTCTCCGAGGTCCAGACTGTCCAGGATGAGATGGTCGGGTTTATCCCCCCAATAGGCGGGACTTGGTTCGGTGGCCGCCATCCTTGTTTTGTTTTTGGGTCTCAACCTGCGTTCGAAAAAACGACCGCGACAAGTGACACGACACTTTTTTCGCCCTAAAATGTCTAAAAGTCTCTGCAATCGCCAGGTTGGTGGAGATTTATCTGAAATTCATGCTGGTTGGTGGTTTGAAGTTGAAAAATGATGAAGTTCGCCAATGGGTTTCGGATGACATCCCATATGATCCATATGTAAAATTGAAAATCAAAGTCATGTTCCAAACCACCAACTAGCTTGATTTTTCTGATAAAAAAATATGATGTCACATGATCAAACCATCCATATCCATCGGTATCTTTTGTTTTTTTTGGGCGCCAATGATTTTGAGACGGAACCCAAGTGGTTCCCCCATGCGGCCGAGTAACATGCCCTGCAGAAATGCAGGTGAATAAAGAGCAATCCTCAAGAGGAAAAGTGATGGACACTTGCTGCGGTGAGAAAACTCATTGGCTCGACAGGAGTACATCCAGAAGCACATGCAACAGTTGGGTCTTTCTTCATGTAAATGGCGTCCATACAACTGTCAACAAACAAGACAATGATTTATTCCATTTCTCACCAAGAGACGCCATCAGCAACACTGAGAGGACATGACCTGAGCAACAGAACGTTGAGCCACTCGGTGATGTCGGTGACTCACTCGCGATTCAGCATGATTCAGCCAGGCCGCATCGTCGAGTTCGGGCAGCTGCCATTGTCTACACCGTTCCCGTTGTCAGCTGAAGTTGGAGCCAAGAGATATGCCTCTGGGGGAAAACGTATCTGAGATGGTAGCTGGTTGGCAAATCGCTGTCTGCTTGCAGTTTGAGATGAGGTGCACATTTCCCTTCGATTTTCTTAGCATCTGCAGAGTTGGAAGATACTTCAAGCATGTTCAAACAAGATTTAATGATATTTAATGTAAGTTTTCCATAGTTTTCCCATGGCTGCCATTTCCAGAATGAACAAATTCCCAACATTTAACTTCCTGCCACAAGCACTGGAAGGCCACAGGAAACGGTCTACGGTCTGATGGGGATTTGCCTGCAAAATAAGGCATCCTGAATCTGCTGCTCCATTAAGGGAATGTACATGGTAAACCCCATTCCAAAACAAACCCATGAAAACCAACCAGTCTTCAAAACACTGGCAAAAGCTCATGTTCATGAAATCGCTTTGTTCGGCTCAGCAGTTGAGTGCCACTCTTGAACTTTGCCTGTTCAGTCAATGGCGTTTTCTGTACAACTCAAGTGGCGAAATGGACATCGCATTGACATTTTTCACGTGGCACCTTGTGACCTTGTGCGTTTCAGTGCGGGATTTCCCATTCACTTCGATCGAGACAGGAAGAATGTGATCTGGAGATGATAGGGAATGATTCTCAAAACGAACGGATTTGATGTGTCAAACTATCAACAACTATGGACTAGAATTAAACTCACATAGGAGACAGACCATGTCCCAACTCTGACAACAAGCCTGAGACTTGAAACATCGAACTTTCGATAACGTTGTGCCAGCAGCAGAACAAGAACACTCTGCAAAGACCTGCTGCTTGATGCGTTCATGCACGTCCGCCATAGGGGTGCAAGTCCTTCAAAGGAAAAGTCAACACATGTGCTCACCACATCTCACGACTATTCTGAGTGCCAGACGCGAACACAAATCACATCAAATCACCATGCAGCTTGTACGGTCAAGCTAAAAACAAACTATGTATAACTATGAACACATATAGTTGGAGGACATTGAAGAACCAAGAACTCATGGTATCTCATGGTCTCCCAAAGTTTCCCACATTTGAGATATGTGCAAGAAAAATTGAAAAATCCCCAGTTTGTTGGACAACATGTCTGCAAGGACATGGCAGAGTCTCTGGTCCTGGCGACCGCTGTGTAACTTTTGCATCTTGTCCATGGCCGGTGACGCACACGTAGCAGTATGCAGTCCATCTATCTGCGACTGCACTCTCTGTGAAGTTCCTGTGAGGAGCTGGACGGTGTCCAAGAAATGAACAGGAAAAGGAAGATGTTTCTGTTTCACGACCATCATTCGGACAATTCCTGTTCATTTCTTGGACAAATTCAGCCAAGTTGCTGAACAAACGCAACAAAAAGGGCGCCGCAGCATCAACGCGTTGCGGCTATGCCTCACATCTGCAAAAAATGGGGGCCAATGTCAATAATGTCACTTGTCAATAAATGTCAATAACTTATGTTTGGTGGAAAAATCATCAAAGCAATCAACATCAATCAACATCAATCAACATTCAACAGAATTCCTCTGACTTTGCACTGTCATGCCCCATGCTCCATGTCGTTGACCCATGGCCCACTGGAGTCACTGGGGCACCAACTCTCCCAACCTTGGACCCGCCATCATCCGTGGCGGATGGCTTTCAGTCACAGCAACCTGTCCGATCCAGGGAAAGCTTTGGTCAAAAATCTCAAACGAGAAAAATACGCCCCGAAGCCCGAGGTTTTGCCTTCGCAAGAGCAGGTGGCTGTGATGATCTGAATCACCTGCGTTTTGCGCCCGTTTGAATCGTTTGAGTCGTTTGAATTGCGTCGAGATCTGTCTCAATCATTCTCAATCTCTCGGCGCCTTCCAAAAGGTCGCGAAGTAAGGCTCATTGGCCTTGGCCTGACAAACTTCACAATGTTCAAAACTGATCAAAACAAATAACTATCTGCAACATTGTCGAGATATGTCAAGATATGTCGAAATATGTCGAGATGTCAAGCTATGTCGAGATATGTCGAGATATGTCGAGATATGTCGAGATATGTCAAGATATGTCAAGATATGTCAAGACATGTCGAGATGACCGACACCTGATACCATCTGATACCATCTGATCACCGCATCACTGATCTCATTTTTTTGGGAACAAGCGTTCCTTGCCTCCAGCAACGCCCGGCGTCTTCGCAAGCGAGACTGAAAACGTTTCTCTATCTGCACAACGGCCTGGCAGCGACATGACATGGCGCTGTCAGATGGACCAGATGGTGAAAAAAACCACGAAATGCCACATTTTTTCAGGAAATCTCAGCTTCCACACGTCATCAAGTTGCTGGTTCATCAACTCCTCCACGGACCTTCTCAGCATTTCTTTGCCATACTTTGAAAGAGATGAACATAACTGAACACAGGACAGTGCAAGATGCACCAAAACAAGCCGGGTTCGAAATTTGAGTGTCCGGCATATTTTGATAGTGAATTTGGGACATGGTGAAAATTGCGAAGGATGCGGTTTGCCAGCGGTTTGCCAGCGGTTTGCCAGCAGTTTGCCAGCGGTTTGCCAGCGGTTTGAGTTGTTCTGCTTGTCTGAAAGCCATGAAAATTGCACCACGTTTCCACATGTCTCAGCATGCGCAAGCAAATCATACGTTCCTGTCACGCACCATGCTCCACGGTTATGGAACTCCAAATAGTCGACCAATTTCGACGTGACTAAGTTGTCCAATATCAGGAGATGTAGCCTTTTTGTTCGGAGCAGTTGAGTGCAACTTTGAGCTCTTGAACTTTGCCTGTTCAGTCAATTGCGTTTTCTGTACATCTCAAGTGGCGAAATGGACACATGACATTTTTCACGTGGCACTTTGTGACCTTGTGCGTTTCAGTGCAGGATCCCCCACTCACTTCGAGACAGGAAGGATGTGACCTGGAGATGATAGGGAATGATTCTCAAATCGTAAGGATTTCATTTCTGTTGTCAGGTTGTCAAACCATAGAGACTTGAAACATCGAACTTTCGATAACGTTGTGCCACCAGCAGAACAAGAACACTCTGCAAAGACCTGCTGCTTGATGCGTTCATGCACGTCCGCCATAGGGGTGCAAGTCCTTCAAAGGAAAAGTCAACACATGTGCTCACGACATCTCACGACCATTCTGAGTGCCAGACACGAACACAAATTACATCAAATCACCATGCAGCTTGTACGGTCAAGCTAAAAACAATATGTATAATTGGAGGACACTGAAGAACCAAGAACTCATGGTCTCCCAAAGTTTCCCACATTTGAGATATGTGTAAGAAAAATTGAAAAATCCTCAGTTTGTTGGATAACATGTCGATCTGCAAGGACATGCATGGCAGAGTCTCTGGTCCTGGCGACCGCTGTGTAACTTTTGCATCTTGTCCATGGCCGGTGACGCACATGTAGCAGTATGCAGTCCATCTATCGGCGACTGCACTCTCTGTGAAGTTCCTGTGAGGAGCTGGACGGTGTCCAAGAAATGAACAGGAAAAGGAAGATGTTTCTGTTTCACGACCATCATTCGGACAATTCCTGTTCATTTCTTGGACAAATTCAGCCAAGTTGCTGAACAAACGCAACAAAAAGGGCGCCGCAGCATCAACGCGTTGCGGCTATGCCTCACATCTGCAAAAAATGGGGGCCAATGTCAATAATGTCACTTGTCAATAAATGTCAATAACTTATGTTTGGTGGAAAAATCATCAAAGCAATCAACATCAATCAACATCAATCAACATTCAACAGAATTCCTCTGACTTTGCACTGTCATGCCCCATGCCCCATGTCGTTGACCCATGGCCCACTGGAGTCACTGGGGCACCAACTCTCCCAACCTTGGACCCGCCATCATCCGTGGCGGATGGCTTTCAGTCACAGCAACCTGTCCGATCCAGGGAAAGCTTTGGTCAAAAATCTCAAACGAGAAAAATACGCCCCGAAGCCCGAGGTTTTGCCTTCGCAAGAGCAGGTGGCTGTGATGATCTGAATCACCTGCGTTTTGCGCCCGTTTGAATCGTTTGAGTCGTTTGAATTGCGTCGAGATCTGTCTCAATCATTCTCAATCTTTCGGCGCCTTCCAAAAGGTCGCGAAGTAAGGCTCATTGGCCTTGGCCTGACAAACTTCACAATGTTCAAAACTGATCAAAACAAATAACTATCTGCAACATTGTCGAGATATGTCAAGATATGTCGAGATATGTCGAGATGTCAAGCTATGTCGAGATATGTCGAGATATGTCGAGATATGTCGAGATATGTCAAGATATGTCGAGATGACCGACACCTGATACCATCTGATACCATCTGATCACCGCATCACTGATCTCATTTTTTTGGGAACAAGCGTTCCTCGCCTCCAGCAACGCCCGGCGTCTTCGCAAGCGAGACTGAAAACGTTTCTCTATCTGCACAACGGCCTGGCAGCGACATGACATGGCGCTGTCAGATGGACCAGATGGTGAAAAAAACCACGAAATGCCACATTTTTTCAGGAAATCTCAGCTTCCACACGTCATCAAGTTGCTGGTTCATCAACTCCTCCACGGACCTTCTCAGCATTTCTTTGCCATACTTTGAAAGAGATGAAGATAACTGAACACAGGACAGTGCAAGATGCACCAAAACAAGCCGGGTTCGAAATTTGAGTGTCCGGCATATTTTGATAGTGAATTTGGGACATGGTGAAAATTGCGAAGGATGCGGTTCGCCAGCGGTTTGCCAGCGGTTTGAGTTGTGCTGCTTGTCTGAAAGCCATGAAAATTGCACCACGTTTCCACATGTCTCAGCATGCGCAAGCAAATCATACGTTCCTGTCACGCACCATGCTCCACGGTTATGGAACTCCAAATAGTCGACCAATTTCGACGTGACTAAGTTGTCCAATATCAGGAGATGTAGCCTTTTTGTTCGGAGCAGTTGAGTGCCACTTTGAGCTCTTGAACTTTGCCTGTTCAGTCAATTGCGTTTTCTGTACATCTCAAGTGGCGAAATGGACACATGACATTTTTCACGTGGCACCTTGTGACCTTGTGCGTTTCAGTGCAGGATCCCCCACTCACTTCGAGACAGGAAGGATGTGACCTGGAGATGATAGGGAATGATTCTCAAATCGTAAGGATTTCATTTCTGTTGTCAGGTTGTCAAACCATAGAGACTTGAAACATCGATTTTTCGATAACGTTGTGCCAGCAGCAGAACAAGAACACTCTGCAAAGACCTGCTGCTTGATGCGTTCATGCACGTCCGCCATAGGGGTGCAAGTCCTTCAAAGGAAAAGTCAACACATGTGCTCACCACATCTCACGACCATTCTTAGTGCCAGACACGAACACAAATTACATCAAATCACCATGCAGCTTGTACGGTCAAGCTAAAAACAATATGTATAATTGGAGGACACTGAAGAACCAAGAACTCATGGTCTCCCAAAGTTTCCCACATTTGAGATATGTGTAAGAAAAATTGAAAAATCCTCAGTTTGTTGGATAACATGTCGATCTGCAAGGACATGCATGGCAGAGTCTCTGGTCCTGGCGACCGCTGTGTAACTTTTGCATCTTGTCCATGGCCGGTGACGCACATGTAGCAGTATGCAGTCCATCTATCGGCGACTGCACTCTCTGTGAAGTTCCTGTGAGGAGCTGGACGGTGTGCAAGAAATGAACAGGAAAAGGAACATGTTTCTGTTTCACGACCATCATTCGGACAATTCCTGTTCATTTCTTGGACAAATTCAGCCAAGTTGCTGAACAAACGCAACAACAAGGGCGCCGCAGCATCAACGCGTTGCGGCTATGCCTCACATCTGCAAAAAATGGGGGCCAATGTCAATAATGTCACTTGTCAATAAATGTCAATAACTTATGTTTGGTGGAAAAATCATCAAAGCAATCAACATCAATCAACATCAATCAACATTCAACAGAATTCCTCTGACTTTGCACTGTCATGCCCCATGCCCCATGTCGTTGACCCATGGCCCACTGGAGTCACTGGGGCACCAACTCTCCCAACCTTGGACCCGCCATCATCCGTGGCGGATGGCTTTCAGTCACAGCAACCTGTCCGATCCAGGGAAAGCTTTGGTCAAAAATCTCAAACGAGAAAAATACGCCCCGAAGCCTGAGGTTTTGCCTTCGCAAGAGCAGGTGGCTGTGATGATCTGAATCACCTGCGTTTTGCGCCCGTTTGAATCGTTTGAGTCGTTTGAATTGCGTCGAGATCTGTCTCAATCATTCTCAATCTCTCGGCGCCTTCCAAAAGGTCGCGAAGTAAGGCTCATTGGCCTTGGCCTCACAATGGCAGATAACTATCTGCAACATTGTCGAGATATGTCGAAATATGTCAAGATATGTCAAGATGACCAACACCTGATACCATCTGATACCATCTGATCCCCGCATCACTGATCTCAAATCTTTGGAAACAAGTGTCCCTCGCCTCCAGCAACGCGCGGCGTCTTCGCAAGCGAGACTGAAAACGTTTCTCTATCTGCACAACGGCCTGAAGGCAGCGACATGACATGACGCTGTCAGATGGACCAGATGGTGAAAAAAACCACGAAATGCCACATTTTTTCAGGAAATCTCAGCTTCCACACGTCATCAAATTGCTGGTTCATCAACTCCTCCACGGACCTTATACTTTGAAAATCTTTGAAAACGATGAACACAACTGAACACAGCAGGACAGTGCAAGATGCACCAAAACAAGCCGGGTTCGAAATTTGAGTGTCCGGCATATTCTGATAGTGAATTTGGGACATGGTGAAAATTGCGAAGGATGCGGTTTGCCAGCGGTTTGCCAGCGGTTTGAGTTGTGCTGCTTGTCTGAAAGCCATGAAAATTGCACCACTTTTCCACATGTCTCAGCATGCGCAAGCAAATCATACGTTCCTGTCACGCACCATGCTCCACGGTTATGGAACTCCAAATAGTCGACCAATTTCGACGTGACTAAGTTGTCCAATATCAGGAGATGCGCTGTAGCCTTTTTGTTTGGAGCAGTTGAGTGCCACTTTGAGCTCTTGAACTTTGCCTGTTCAGTCAATTGCGTTTTCTGTACAACTCGAGTGGCGAAATGGACACATGACATTCACGTGGCACCTTGTGCGTTTCAGTGCAGGATCCCTCCACTCACTTCGATCGTGACAGGAAGGATGTGACCTGGAGATGATAGGGAATGATTCTCAAATCGTAAGGATTTCATTTCGTTGTCAGGTTGTCAAACCATAGAGACTTCAAACATCGAACTTTCGATAACGTTGTGCCACCAGCAGAACAAGAACACTCTGCAAAGACCTGCTGCTTGACGCGCTCACGCACGTCCGCCCAAAAGAGATGGATGTCGTAGGGGTGCAAGTCCTTCGAAGGAAAAGTCAACACATGTGCTCACGACATCTCACGACCATTCTGAGTGCCAAACAAAAACACAAATTACATCAAATCACCATGCAACTTGTATGGTCATCCTAAACATAATAGTTATATATGATAATCTATGTATACATACCCATAGGATCCATGGTGCTGGATATATATGCTAACATGACTGGGGTATATTGATGGTAAACGTTACCATATATAGCATACATGAGTTCCCGTCAAAATACATTACATGGCCTTGGTACGAAATCAGAGCTTATCCTTTTTTTTGGGGGGCCATATCGTTTTACAGTGTTTCATGGTTATGTTATAATTTGGGGATGATAAATGAATTCCATTGAATTCCCAAATGAATTCAATTCTCAACTGTCCTTGGAAGGTATCGCATTCCGAATCAAGGTGGAACAAGTTGACTGGTCACCGGAGAATTTGAACGTTGTAGAATCATTTCACCGATGTATCATTTGCACAGAACATGAGACACCTGATCTGATGCTGGTTAGGATCAAGAGCAAGGAATGCAAGGCAAACACAGTCTTGGATTGTCCGCATGTGATTGACTTTACTGCAATGCAAAGACTCAGCCACAGCGGCGGCCAGCCGCAAACTCAAATTCATTTTCTTCGGATGGCTCTGGTTTGTCGAAGATCTTGCGCAGTTTCAAAGGGCTTGCAGCAGGTGTTTCAGGTCCCCAGAGTCTCAGTAACTCCCACCAAACAAGGCAATTCACTTTCTTCAGCAAGGCATGGACTGGTGTTGTCAACCTTCGCACCTCATCTGGGATATTGATCAGGTGTCCACTCTCTTTTGTTGCTGCTATCCATTGCTTCCACTGCTGTTGGCTTCATCTGCGCTTGTGTCAGTAGAGATCGAACTTGAACTAGAACTCTGGTTGTCCCGTACAACATTCGCCTCCTTGCGCTTCTGTCGTCTCTGGAGAAAAATTTGTTTTTTGTGTTCCTTCTCGTCCTGTGTCAATGGTGCTCGGTGCCGCAAATGAGTGGCATGCGGTAGCATTGATGCTTGAAGTTTTTGGCGTCTGGTAAGGGCTGTCTCGTCATGAAGACCTAGGGTCTGCACAGTGGTGTCCCAATTGGATTTGCCAGGCCCGTAGAATCCCCTTCGCCACGCAGGAGTGGCTTCAGTACTCTCTTCGTACAAGTCCGATGTGAGCTCTGTTCCTGCTGCTCGGTTGCTGAAAATATAATTGGTGATACGCACCGCGAAACGAAATATGCGGCTGTCAGCTGGCACAGACCCCAGACAATACGTGCGTGTAATGTGGAGGCCAGATGCTAGAAGACGATCTCCAGGGGGAGGTTTGGCGGACTCGTCATGGACAACCAGAACCTTCGAAGCAGGATCCGAGGAGTTTTGCTTGGCCGACTCACGCTGAACCATCGCCACCAGTTCCTCAAGCGTTTTGATGCATGTGGTTGTGCGTTTGGCACGGGCAATCCATTTGTTGAGCCAACCGAACATCTGGTCACATCGACTCTTCATATGTTTTTCGACGCCCCAATGACAATAGCACGCCACTCCGTGCTTCTGGGGCAAGCCAACCAAATGGTGGTGAATCGACTCGTAGCTTCTGAAATGTGGCCCTGCATCCGCTACTATGTGTAGCGCACGCAGGGGCACATGATCTTTGCGGAGGGACAAGCAAACATCGATCAACTGGTTGGCCCGTAAGGCCGTATGATCCAAAATGCTGCTAAATACCGGGATGTACCGGGTTTCAACTTGTGGGGCGTCAGCTGTGCTCGTGGGTGCATGTTCCACTAACACTCCTCCAAATGTGCAGACCTCGAAACGCCATGTGGCGTAAAACATTTCGGATATTTCCACCTGAGCGATCGGAAGCGTCAGCAGCTCCTTGAAGTCAACGAGCAAAACGCAATGTCCAATGGGCGGACATTGCAACAGCCGGTCCAGTTGTGGTCGTTGATGGAGGTTCGCCGCTCTGTGAAACAGATAGCTGTCAAGAAGCTTCCGGAGCTTCTTGACACTGAACTCCAACTCTGCCTCGAGGGAATGCAAGGTTAGTTGCTTTGCCCGGCCCAGGTCCCCTCGCAAACGTCGCAAGTCACAAGGGAACTCTGTGTTGCGATGTTCTCTGCATGCTGCAGCGCAACTGTGCCTGTTCACATAGTGCTCGAACAGCTACAGATAAAGACCTGGCTGATGGTGTAGTTCGTACTTCTTCTCGTAAACCAGCCACAAAGCAAAGTAATTCGGCAAAAGTTCTGAGAACTTTGCCCTTGCTTTGGACATCAAGCGTACCATCTTGGGGATGACCTTGGCATCAAGGTCGTGGCATGTCGTGGCAGTAGATGCAGTAATCACTTTTGTCAAATCCTGGCAGGAACGTGGTTTCAGTGTTGGCTCGTTGGCGTTGCTTCCTGCTTCCTGTCTGCGTGTGTGTGCGCAGCAGGCCTTCTTCAAGACTGGCTGTGGTGTCAGGACGCCAGGTGAAGGAGAAACTGCAGCTGCAACCTACCAAGCACCGTAAACAATCAACTCACCATGTGTGGGCTTCCTGGCCAGGCCTCTGCATCAGCCTTCTGCACAGAAGGTGAGGGAGGCACGGCAGGTGGAACCTGCCAAACGCTGTTAACAAGACTGCGTATCTGCTCACATCATTGCGTCAGCCTTCTCCACAGCAGGTGAGAGAACCACGGCCAATGGAGCCCGACAACCGCTAGAAAAAATGAAACAGGTTTCGCTAAACAGTTTGGCCTTATAGGCAATCTTTTAGGTTGTTCAATTCCGTAGCCAGGCCTCTGCAGCAGTCTTGTCACCAACGGGCGAGGAAGAAGCTGCAGATGAACCCTGACCAGCAAGAAACAAAACACAGAGTTCCTTCTCAAACATGTAGCCGGGCCTCTGCTTCAGGCTTCTGCCCGGCACCGGCTGAACTAGGCACGGGATTGCTACGAGGCTCGTAGCCAGCATCCTTTGCCGATTTCAAGCTGTAGTACTTCTTGCCCTGCGGACAATGCCAAACTCCTTGGTAGAACAATTTTTCTGACACAATGAGCCTGAGCTAACTTCAGATAATGCATCCGTATGATTCGCACTCGCTCCAGAACACATACAGCCCAGGCACTGTAGATCTGGCCAACGTTCGAACCACTCATGCGCATGCGCTCTTCGACAACCCACTGGTTGGTCATGACTATGGGCTACCAAGCGAAGAAGCTGATCTCTGAGCCACTGCGCCACTGGCAGCAAAGGATGTGAAGCATCACATGGAATCCAAGATCAACTTTCCCAGGGTATCGTTTTTGGGGGGGCCATATCGTTTTCCATGCTTTTCTATACCTCACAAGACACTTTGGACCCCTCAATACTAAACTCAATTACAGGTATTCTGACCGTAGCTCACATGGATCCTATGGGATATGTACAATTATTTACACTTATAATTGGAGGACATCGAAGAACAAAGAGCGCGTGGTCTCTCTTTTCCATGTAAGATAAGGGAAACATGGAAAAGTTTCCCCAGCTTGTTGGAGAACACTTCTGCAAGGACATGGCAGAGTCTTTGGTCCTGGTGACCGCTGTGTAACTTTTGCATCTTGTCTTCCATGGCCGGATGGTGACGCACACGTAGCAGTCCATCTGCGACTTCTGCACTCTCTACGAAGTTCCTGCAGGGGCTGCATGGGGCTGCGGCTTCGCAAACACTTCAGGTCCACTTCTGATTTCTTTGGGGTTTTTGTCTCATCAAATTGTGCGGAATCTAAAAGTCGTTCTTGTTGGTCTAGATTTTGTCAAACAATCTTTCGCTTGAAGGAAACGAGCCAAGGATCATAGCCAGCCAGTGTGCTGACCAAAATTTCAAAACAAATCAAACATATCCCTCGCGTGGTGTTCTTTTTGTCCATCTTGGGGCTATATCAGGCAAAAAAATCACGAATACACCTGCATGCAGGGATGCAGAAAACACATGAAAACACGTCATTTTGTTGGTATTTTCTTGAAGTCATGTTCCTAATGGGAGTTTCTAAAAATGCTGGTTCTCCAAGAAACCATAGGTTTCAACATGTTTCGGGGCCCACCCATGGTAACCCCCTAGGAATTCGTCGTATTCGTCACCGTTCGTCCTGAAGAGCACGGGCAACTTGCTGTCGTCCTCGGGCAATAAGGCACCACAGGCGCCAGGTGACCAGCCAGAGGGGTTGGCGAAGTCGACGAAACCTTTGCCGCCGGACATAAAGCCTTGGTGGTGCCGCTGGGATACCTGGTGGATGTGAATATGGATATGAATACAAATACATCATTTAGATTTTTTTGGAGACTCACACATTGTCACACTTAAGAATAAATAGCATGAATGTTCGATGTTCTTTGAAATTCAATGGAATATATGATATACATTGATATGATATGGTTATGATGATGTATCCATGGAACACGCATGATGAATGATGAATTCGACAGCTTCTCCAAATTAAGTTTCCGCCAAATTCAACAGCTATCGGTTTTCAGGAAGGCGATAGCTTAGTGGTTTCAGTCTACCATTTCTGCTGAGAAAAATGGCTGAAATCCAGCTGAAAACATGGCTGATCAGTCCTGAGGGCCCAACCTATCAGTGTCCATTTCCGATCTGCCTGGACATCATTTTTTTCCGGAGAATGTTGAGAAATGTTGAGAATCATCTAAACCAGTACATATCAGTACTTATAAACCCGTACATACAAACCAGTACATATCACTCCTCATTTTTGGAAATGTACATATAGTCTACATTGTGTATTACATAATCTACATATATATATATATATTACATATTATATTATACACTTTTGGAAACTTCAATAATGGTCTCACAACTCCAAACCCCTCGAACATGTCGAACGCGGGCGCTCCTGAGGTGTGGCAGCTGCCCAAATTGCCACAGAAGGCTCGAGAGTGCTGGCAGTGCTGGCAGTGCTGGCTGCTGCCGTATCCAGCGGCAGCGGTGATGGGTCAATCCAATTACCTGGGCAATGGGACCTTATGGGACCTTCAGATGGGCTCTGAGATTCGTGTTTTTCGATGTTTTTCGATGTGGATTCGATGAATGGTGATTGGTGGATTTTTTTCATGGAGATTTCAAATGGTGATTTTTCATGGATATTCATGGGATCTCAAAAATGACTTTATGGATTTAAGGATGGGATTTCACTGGATCCTATGATGGGATTAACTCAGCGTTCTGGAAAAGTGTCGTGGAGACCAACTGCAATTGCGCGAAGCGCGAAGCAAACAGAACGGACGATCTCTCGATTTGTGCACGTTTCTTATGACACTCAGAGAATTGGATGATGGGAAAATTTACAGGAAACCTCTATATTTGATGGTAAAACCCATGGTTTCCTGTAGATTTTCCCTTAAACCAATCCATTGAGACACGACGATCAATTTCAAACCAGCAAGATATTATGATAGTATGATTGGTCGTCTGAAATTTCCAGGATTCATCATGACAAAAATGATGACTTATGGCTCTATGTTTGGAATGTCCAAATTCAACACTTCTAATGTCAACCCTGGATGAGACTAAACCATGGTTTATTTTTATTTGAGGGGGTACTCCTCCAATAGTCATAATTAATCTGATACTTTTTTATGGTACCCTCCCCATTAATCCGGGGTTGACATTATGATTTGGATTTCCACTTTGTTTGAACATTTTATATTCGCTGAGAATCCCATTCCTGGCGCATGCACCGCCACCAGTCGCTTCATTACCGCAGCATCAGGAGCAATGCGTTCGCTGACCAAGCGCTGAATGTGGATGGATCCTGGGGCATCGCATGGCCACGGGGATCCAAGGGGATCCAAGGGGATCCAAGGCAGCTTGACATATTCGTAGAAATTCGTAGAGGAATATCAATTTCTTAATTTTCTTACAACATGTCTTACAAACCGGTGATGTAAACTCATTTTCTTCAATTTCTTACAACATATGTTGTTTCATCTGATGAGTTTCTCGCTTTTAAGAATCCTCAAAAACATGCAAAGCATTGCAAAGCGGTAAACATCACCAGCCACCAACCGCTGCCACGTCCTTGCGAATGTCCAGCCAACAGAATGGGCCGGTCACCGCTTTCCGACAGAAAGTGCTCGAAGGCACTGAGGATGTCTTGAAACGCCAAGTCCCAACTCCCGCCCATGCCGGCCTCGTGACAGAACACGAAGCTTTCGGATTGGACTGGTGAGAGTTGTTCTTGATTGTTGTTGATGTTTTCATGAATGCAAAAGTTCATATTGAGACAATAAAAAAACATTTGATTTGAGATAGTGGATCTTTTCATGTAGACATGCAACTTGAACTGTCTTCACTCTTACTTTAGAACTATACATAACTACAATTAATATGGTGGGAAACCTCCCCCAGTCATTGGCTGCAAATTTCACTGGGATTTTCCAGCCCTTTTGGGGCCCAACCCTCCTGGCGGTAGAGAGGAGCAAAGGCTCGACATGCCGAAGTGAACGCCGTACACGCCGTCATCTGATGGCGAGTATTGAAGCCAATCCAGGCCTCCTGACACAAGACATTGAAGAACATGGCGAACTGGGATATAAAATGGGCAATACATGGCAATTTTTTTCAACATGATCAAAATCTATTCAAAATCTGCATAAATTGGGTGATTTAGCATATTTTTTTAAATCCCAATCTAATCTTTTGAAGCCACCAAAATCACCCATCTTTCTCAGGTCCTGATCGTAGCGGTTGATGGATGCTCGATTTCCAAAGCCTGGCATTTTTTATCATTTTTTGGGACTCTGAAGCATCAAAGGTCAACATATCTCAACATAACTTCAGAAATAACTTCGGATCATAGCCACCTACCTACCTGGGACCTCCCCGGGACCTACCTGGGACCTACCATGGCCTTCCATGGTCCCATGCAAATAAAAGAGATCTGCTGGCGCTTCCAGGGTCTGAGGATCACCTCACCAGAAAATCACAGCTGAAGTTCAGTGGAAAATCGACGAAATAAGCATACATGATATACATGATATACATGATATATATATATAATTATTAATATATATAATTATACATGATGTACATGTTAGATTTCAAATCAACCCATCTTGTATGTATTATATTACAAGACCTATGACAGATTGGATTCATGTGTCCCAAGTTCCTGCCAGGTCTTGAAGATCCGAAGCTATCCGTTTCGAAACTTTCGTCCAGTGGCTTTCCTTCAGGTCTTCCTGCTGCATGCTGCCATCAGCTTGAATGAGGTAGGCGATCTTGGGAAGACACTCATCCACTCTCCTGGATGCGACTGGGGATGAGGGCACTTACCCTCTGGTAAACATACAAAAAGCTATTGAAAATGGTAATTTGTTACATAGCTATTGAAAATGGTCATTTATAGTTGATTTTCCCATTAAAAATGGTGATTTCCCATGGCTATGTTGGTTTACCAGAGGGTAGATCATGCCACTTCCACCAGGGCTGAACTTCTTCGATGATTTTCCATGGAAAATCGCCGAAAAGCTGTTGATCCAGTTCGGAAAATGTACCACGTGGCTGACGATCAAATGAAATCACCCATCCCCATAAAATGGTTCGTTAAATCACCATGAAACCCCAATAATTTTTGGGAAGTTCTTGGTGGTCATCCACATTTACTGCTTCATCAGCAAAGAACAACATACATACTGATCACTTGCAAAGCTTCAAAATGTGCTACTGCCCCTCAAACTCCGCATGATCCCGAGTCCATAGGTGTCTGTCCAAAAATTGTAGATATGTGTCTGTCTTGATGGCCATTGTCATAGTCAAGTTAGTGAACCTTATTTTCTTATGCAATCTTGGGATATCTTGGGACTCTCCCCGCAATTTCTGGGAAATTCATGAACTCGAAAAACAACACCAGCAACACCAACACCAACACCACAGGTCCGAAAACATGTGCTCGAACAAACAACAACAACACAAACATCATCTAACAAAAATTACCACAGCTATATAAAATGCTGAACTCCAATCTATCCAATCCATTCGATCCATTTTTCCCATGGTTTTTCATGGGTTTTTCATGGGTTTTTCATGGCTTTCCCATGGTTTTCCCATGGGTTTCCCATGGCAAACCCCCATGGCCTGGGATGGTGCAGTGGATGTGCCAACCAATACCTGGCGCTCTCGAAGTCCGGCGGATCCGACGCCAAAACTTCGCCCTCCAAGCGATAGAACTGGGCGCGGATGCGGCGGCAGCAGCCGCAACAGGAGGACTCCTGGGACGCGGTTTTAGGCGTCCCAGGCGTCGGCTTTGAGGACCAGGTTGGGTGGATTTGGGTGGAGAATCTCGGAAAATCTGGTAGCTGGTAGTTGGCATTCCAATGGATTTTTCAAGGTCTGCTACTCTATGTGTGTAGAGTCAACGGTGGACTGGGGAATGGACGGATTTGATGGGAATTTATTACATCTCAGCATCTAAATTTTGAGACCCTCAATCTAAGGGATTAACACTTCCCCAATATTGAAATGTTATGCGTTATTCTTGCCATCGTTTTGACGTACCTGACAGCAGAATGAGTCCTGATTACCCATAGCGCTGGCAGGTGTGTTGTTGTCAAGAGTCAAGAAATATGTGCCTAGCAAAGTGTGTGTTTTCCTTGCGTTTTTGAATCTGGTTCAGTAGGGTCAAGCATTGAGAAAATCAGCTTCTCTGCACCTGTAAAAAAAACGGACTCCTGGCGCATACAGACTTTCAACATCTTTCAACCCACATACAAACTTGATCTATAAGCTGCATGCGAGTGGGCCAGAGGCGAACGGTTTCTCTCCACAGAAGCACATTCTTCAACAACACCAGAACTGCAATTTGGTTTCGACCATTGAACCACAAGTAACATGTGCAACTGCCTAATTAATAAACAAAAACAGATCAATGACAGGATTTTGATGCTGATTGGGTCCCCATGGTGCAACCCATCCCAGCAGCTCTTACATGTTCGAAGTCCAGATAGTCCAGGGGATTGTCACCCAGTGCTAGGTCGGAACTCGCTGCTGACAACGATCAAGGATGATGGGTGAGAACCTGTCAAACAATCAAGAGATATCAAGAGACCCTGTCTATCCAGCGAATTTCGGGTTTTCTTTTCCGACTCACAACTCTGTTGTGCAAGCCACTGCAGAGCCTAGAGTCCTAGAGCATAGAAATGCAAAAAAGATCATAAAAGCACAAGCCTTTGGCTTCAATGTGCTTCAATGTGCTTCAATGTGCTTCAATGTGCTTCAATGTGCTTCAATGTGCTTCAAAACTTCTGGTACCAATAGTCATTGCTTTAAATCAGGAGTAACGGTGCCAAACTTCTGCGAGTTCCTGAGCTACTTTCTCTGCAGACTTTGCAATTCCATCTATGTACAGAAGGGTGTTTGAGAATACGAAATCATTTTGCATCTTTCCCGCGTCTCCATGGGGCGTTGGCGGATACTGAGTACACAACCTCACAGGAACTATTCGTAAGTTCTTCTCCCATGCATAGCGCAGCTCATGGAAAGTCTCGTATCGAGCACCGGTCTCTTCTCCGTAGTCCTCAGTGCAGAATGCAGCCATCATCTTTGTGCGAAAAAGGCCTGCCATGGTGGGCATTGCAAAGCTCTCCCCAGGGCCCACATCTACCATGTAGACTGGCACGCTCCTCCTTGCAAGTGCCTCTTTGACGGATCGCAGGTATGTCATCCGCTCCGGTCTGTTGAACCTTGCAGACATAAACAAATGTATTCTGCGTGATTCATCGTGAGCTGTGCTGACTGTGCTGACTGTGCTGGGGACTGGCAGTGGCAAAGCAACCCTTGGAACTGATCTTGATGCCCACAAGCGAGGGATCCATTGGCACAAGAAAGACTGGCATCCTAAAACTTGTGCTACAATCACAAAATAACAGAAATGATCCAGAGTCACTTCCACGTAGCTGCTCCCAAAAAATGCCGGAACTTCTTCCCATCCATCGTTGGTTGAACGCAAGGCCATGTCACCACACCCCACTGGAACCAGCAACCTTACTGGTTCTTGGAAGGAGACTCCTTCGGGCGTCAGCTTGAACACAGAGCCACAAGGAACGGTATCCTTTTGCAGCGCCGGGCATCGATTGCTGGCGATTTCTTCTTTGATGTCTACGATTTGTGCCTGCTTCATTTTAGTGTTTGTCTCAGTGTTCGATGACAGCATCAAAATGCCGCAGCAAACTTCCACGACCAAATTGGTCACTCTGATGGAGTCTTGGTGCATCTCCCTCAGTTCTGAAAGATGTGGTGAATTGCTACAAGTATCCTTTTTGCCCGGCAATTCTAAGCGGGCGAAATCGACGGGCGAAAGTTTGCCGAGAGTGTCGCAGGCTGCTTGGCAAACATCCAGACTTGGGTCTTCCAGCATTGTGAGTAGTTGGGATGAGTGCTCGGCAAGTTTCTCTTGAGGAAGTCCTTCCAAGGTCTTCACGGCTCTCGCGCGGACAGAATCAGATGAGTCTTTCAGCATAATCAAGAGCTCCGAGGCGTGCTTCGCCAAGTGATCAGGGAGAACTTTTCTCAAAGTTTCAAGAGCTGCACAGCGAACATCGCAGCTTTGCACCCTCAGCATGTTCACCAGCTTCGAACAATGCTCAGACAAGTGATTGGGATGAAGCAGGGCCAAGGCCTTAAGAGCTGTGAAGCGATCAGATTCACAGGGATTGTCCAGCATCTGCAGAACTTCAGAGGAGTGCGTGACCAAGCAATCAGCCGGAATTTCCCGCAAAGTTTCAAGAGCTGCACAGCGAACACGATATTGTGAATCTTTCAGCAACTTCACGATTTCCAAACAGTACTCAGGCAAACGATGAGCAGGAAGTTTACTGCTGCATTGTAAGACTCTGAATCGAATGGTCCAGTCTGTGTCTTTCAGCATCTCCAGGATTTTTAAGGAGTGCTCAGCCAAGCACTCAGCTGGAAGCTTGCTGATAGCTTCAACAGCTGCAGAGCGGACGTCTGCACTTGGTTCGTCCACTAGCTTCAACAGCGCTATGGATTGCTCACCCAATAGGTCAGCTGGAAGTCTCTTGAAAGTTTCAAGAGCTGCTGAGGAAACCATCCATTCTGAGTCTTTCAGAAGCTTCATGATCTGGGGGGAGTACTTGGCTAAGTGATCAGTAGGAAGTTTCTCCAGAGCTTCAAGAGCTGCAAAGCGGACATCCGCATTTCGGTCTTCTAGCATGTTCAGCAACTTCGAGTGCTGAGCTATGTCATCGGGAGATGCACACATGGCTTGCTGGAGCACCAAACCAGCTGCGACTACGGGCGAGACAAATCAACAAAGTGCACAACAGTTCTGGCATGTTTTTAGTGCAGTTGGTTGAAGTCTAGATCATGTTTCTGGTTTTGTCACTCTTTTGCAATGGGGCGAAAGAACAATGGCATTGAAGCGAGGACATGAGAATGATTCGGCATGACAGGCTCTTCCAGAGCACATAATCCATTACAAACGACTTTCAGAGCCATCAGCTTTGGCACACCAGAAACTCTGCAAGAACAAAACTGTGGAGGATGCATGACAAATGCATGACAACACGACTCTACCTTTTTGAACTCTTGCTGACAGTTTTAGTCCAGAATTTCAAAGCACATCTAATCAGCTGTGTGCATCATGAATGATGGAGACCATATCCAGTTTTCCTAATTCTTGGCCTTGGGTTTTCCATCAAACCCAGTCTGTTCAAAGCTGACCACTGTGACATGTTTTTGTTATCAGTTTCAATTTGGGCGTAAGCGTGTCCTCAAAGCAACCGTTTCATCATTTGAAATGCTCCATCCTGAATCAAAGGAACATGCGGAACCTGTGATATTTGCTGACCCAATGTTGTGGAACTATCAGCGCACTAAGCGCATGTTGCCTTCTTCGCTTTGGTTTTGCAGAGCAGAATTTCATTCTCAATGGCATAGGTAAAATATGGTAAAAATGGAACATGTTCTGTGGGGCCGTCGCAACACTGTTTTCGACTTTGCCGGTCCATGGCCACACGGGCCCTCTGTCTGAAAACTGATTTGGCCAGGGGCCGCCTGATGTGTTGATGGGACCCAGAAGCTCAGCATGAAGTCATGGAAGGCAATTCCGGTGTCAGTTGTACACCTCACTGGCGAACATTCCATAGGACTGGAGCCACAAGCGTGACCATTGACTTGACACAAGACGTGATATGTATGCCAAAATAAAAGTTGTATCCTGCATGGCGCAAATGCCATTGCTCCAACATGATCTTTTGTGACTGCTTAAGTTACTTTAGTTGTATCATGTTGTAGGCCGTAGGTAGGCAACCTTTCTGGAATAGGTCGACTTGGATAGCTGATGATGTATCGGCTGTATCGGTATCCATTTTCCTCCAACTCTTGATGTCATGAGTCATGACTAGTTGTTTCATGTCGTTTCCCCGTTTCCTGACCTGCAAGATCAACCCTGGCTGAGAGCCCCTGCCTTCCCACCCCGAAACTCCATGGCATCGCGTTGCAGCCGTGCCATCCATGCTTGCCCAGCCAACAGCGTCATACCCATGGCGACGGAGGTCTTGAAGATGTGGGCCTCACGCTCCATGAGATGAAACAAAAAAGATTAAAAAAAAAACGTCTCAAGTAGGTTGTCTGATTATCTATGTCTATAATATTAATCTATATATTTATCATTTATCTATGGTAGACTTTAGACATATTTAGAACATATTATGTTTAAACATGTTTAACCATGTTTAAACACTTTATGTCTTTCCAACATCACCAGTGGCCCATAAATACATGGGAGTGGTGCATAGAGACACAATCTTACATGATGAGGATAGCGCCCAAATAAAAGTCATCATTCTTCTTGATATTATGTGACAGTTATGTATATGGTAAGATCAAGATCTGGTAAGATCTGGTAAAGGATATAATGATATAATAATGGCAAGATCTTCTGCCTGTTTCTGATGCGAAGCGTCATCAAAGCAGACTCGCAAGACGGAAAGAGCACTGCCGGATTCAGGCTTCGACCGGGTTGAAACTTCTTGAAGGAGCCTGGCAAGTCTTGCAAGAAACTCGCGCCATTGTGTCACATTCCGCAGTCACTTTGAGGTTTTAATGCCTGAAATTCCAAATTCATCAGCTGCAGCGACGCCTTGTGATTGGAGGCACGACCTGCTGCCTGGTAGCTGTAGCCACTTTGTTCAGGTCGGCTGTGGGATCTCTGCCTGGCACTTTTCACTCAGCAGGGGTTGAAATCCTATGGGTTGAAGGGATTTACAGCAAAAACCCATGGAAAACATCCCATTTTCAATGATCAAAACATATCAAAACCTAGGCTTTTTCCCTGTGTTTGACTATTTCCTTCAAGCCAACCGCAGTGAAGAATCCAAAAAAAAAACCGCCTCTCCCGGAATGCGCGAGGATCGAAATCAACCTTGCCCGCTCGAAACCTGAGAGTTGTGGATTCCAGTCGGTCGCCAGTCATGGTGCAGTCATGGTACCCTGGGGAGAAGGCCCAGAGTTGCCATAGAAATGGCCTCCAAACCTCAGAAGAGGCCCGGGGAACCGGAACAAGGCGGGCCAGATTCACCAATCCACTTGGTTGCTGACGCTTCGCCTGACCACTTCTGACCTGGAAAAACCCTGGAATCCAATGGAAAAAATCAAGGGACGCTTGGGTCTGGGTTTGGTTTTTTTTCTAAGACGGAAAAAACAACAAGGCCACTTCAAATGTTTGAATCCGACATGATGAATCCAAGTTGATCTACCTTCATTTGCCAGCAATTTACCCCACATGATATTTTTGTTCCCATTTTGGGATGATCCAAGTGTCACTGGACCACCCATTTCCCAATTTTCCCATGGAAAAACCACTCTTTTTCAGCCTCCTGGGGTGGTGTAGCTCTGATCCCACGGTCCCTTTGACGGGCCATAGCCATAGCCGCCATAGCTTTGACTGCCGGAGGCTGCCTACAGCTGAGATGTACCAATGGAATCCGTGCGGGATCTGTGCTGCGCCTTGCCTGTTGGAGCAGCTCAGTAGCTTCATCGTAGTCCTCGCCGGACCCCAACCCCGAAATTCCTCTTTTTGACAAATTTAGACATAGAGGTCACAATACATTTTTCCGACACATACGGAAAATTGATGCATGAGCGATCCAGAAAATGGACAGAAATTGAGGTTGGTTGAGAGGTTTCCTTACTATGGGCTATCATGTTATATCACTTTATTTTATCCCCAATAAATTCGGGTCATTTGATCATTCTGACCCAATCTGATCCATTGATATCCATTGGATGTCAATGGATCACAGCTGAGTCGTCCTCCCGCAAACGCTTGAAGTCTGCTTCGGATGCCTCACAGAAGCCGTCCCTCTGGAAGCGTTTCCAAAACCGTCCCAGTTTTTTTTCCTGGAGACAAACGTCACATCGCCATATTGCATCGTTTGTGATGATGTGTGGTGATATTATGATCATATCTTGATGGCTCTACATCTACCTGAATCTACCTCTATGATCTTCCCATTTTCGATACTTGAGGGTACAGGTTTCACTTAGATAAATATATTGTAGCCATAGTATGTTGCCATAGTAAGTTGTAGGCGATAAGTTATACCCTCTGGTAAACATACAAAAAACTATGGAAAATCACCATGCTATTAATGGGAAAATCAACTATTTCGACTGGGCCATTTTCAATAGCTTTCTGTATGTTTACCAGAGGGTAGAGCTTATTTCCCAACTTATGGGGGCTGCAAGAGCCATGTTTTACCCCGGCTCACCTCCCCGGCAATGTCCGGGTGGAGCAACTTCGCACGCTTGTAGTAGGCCCGACGTAGCTCTGCCTGAATATCCACATGGAAAAACCCAGGGGAAAATCGTGGCGATCTACAGGAAACCAGGGGTTTTTCACCACTCAATTTGCTCAATTTGCTCAATATTTTGTGTAAATCTTTGCTTCAAATCTGGGATTCAATGGATTGGTTTAAGGGAAAATTTACAGGAAACCTCCATATCTAATGGTAAAAACCATGGTTTCCTGTAGATTTTCCCTTAAACCAATCCATTGAGGGATGATTCACCTCCAATTTGATGCTTGATCCAACTGGAACCCGAACGGCCTGTGAAGCCGACGGTGGCAACCTGAGATCAGGTTGCAGTGATGGAAATGGCAACTTCTCAAGCAAGAAACGTGAGGAATCAGGATATTGCACAATCAATGTGAGGATATATAGTTAATTATGATCAATTTATCAATTACCATCTGGTTATTTAACATAGCCATGGAAAATGGCCCATTTGTAGATGGTTTACCTATTAAAGATGGTGATTTTCCATGGCTATGTTATTAACTATGATCAATTAATATCAATTAATCAATTATATTGATCATATTGATTAACCATTATATCATATTGATTAACCATTATTATGATCAACCACCAATTCGCAATGATGATGCAATGGTGGATCTTCAAACGTGGAATCTTCGCCACATTTGAAATTTCCCGTCAAGAAGTTGGGGGCAGCAGATCTGTCCCATTTTGAAGCAAAAAGGGCGCCAAGTTGGGATCCGCAAAGGTGCATTTGATGACATCTTTTGCAGGAAAAATCATGACTTTCGATATGTTTCGATCTGTTTCCATGTCCCATACCCATGACGGATCCGGCTGGTGCTGGTAGATTAATGCTAACATGACTGGGGTATATTGATGGGATCTATGTTAGCATATATACCAGCACCAGGGATCCTATATATCCTATGGGATATGTGTCCCATATGTGGCTTCTTCTCAGCTCCCACCATTGCGCCAAAGGACTTGAATCGTTTCAAGAGCTGAGCGAGCCGTGAAGCGGACATCAGAACTGAGATATCGACAGCAGTTGCCACGTCTTTTTTTTGTTTTTGATGTGCCAAAACCATCCAACAATGATCAACAAAAAATACGTAAATTACTGGTTGGTGCTTTTTCGCCACCCCTCTGAAAAATCATGGAATTCGTCAGTTGGGATGATGAAATTCCATATATTATGGAAAGTCATAATATGTTATAATCCAAATCTTCCAAACCACCAAGCAGATTATGTCTGATGTCTGATCTAGAGGACTGCTGCAAATCGTGGCCAGCAACCGAGACGACTGGTTGCAGCTAGAGGAACATCACGTCGCGTCGCGTTGTGAGTAGCGAGGTCCCAGGAGTTGCTAAGAAAATATGGGGGTTTCTTAAAATGGAGGATCCCCGGATCCCCGAAACCATGCGTTTCAAGATTAACATGGTCTAATTTTGGATGATTTGGGGTACCCCCTCACTTTTAGGAAACCTCCATCTGATTTCAATGAAAACATCTCACAGTTGAGATCAGAAGTCATGGCACTTCGCCACCGATCGAGCTCCCTTTTTTCATGGGCAAACAGCCCTGCACTGGCCATCACTGGCCGTCACTCAATCTCATCCAAAGAAAGGCCCTGTTGCCTGGGTTGCACCAAAAAATCTCAAACTGCATGATGTACATTAAAAAAAACTCATTGAAACATTTTTCACGTCATTGAAACTCACCAAATCAGTTGCTTTTTGACACCAAAAAACCACCCATCATTTTCAGCTTCCCACCCTGCTTTAATCAACTTGACCGGATCGCAAGTCCGTTTCCTCGGGCCCAGGTTTGGAGTACCATTGGAACATCTGGGGGGAAAACATGGTGTCTAGTCCAATAAAAACAGGGGTGTTCATGTAAATTTTGTGCCTTGAACCAATTCTGATGCCGGGAAAAAATTGGAAGATTTAGTGACCCAATCGACCCAATCATCAAATAATAAGTGAAGAGATGACCCAGAAATACCCAGAAACAGTCTTCAGAATGTAAGTTCCACTGGCGAAAACCAGGCAATCTATGGCTGAACCATGGGACATCTGGACTCAATTGCCCTTTTGAGGAGCCAACTCTTGCTTCAAATGCTCATTGACTTGGTTGTGCCTCAAGACAAACAAAACAAAAACAACCATGGGGATATGATGGGGATATTGATAGGGACAATTAATCAGAATGATAATTGAAGATCATGATATATATATATGATATGATACAGCAATGGGACGTAATGGGGGTATAATTAGATAACACCCAACAACCAACCCTCCTCATTGAGTTTGCACAACACCTGCTGAAGACCTGCTGAAGACCCTCTCTGTGGTGCCGGCGCTTCGCACCACCAGACCTCATCAAAAGCTTCGATTCTTCCCACACGACAGCTGTATTTTATTGGGGCAAACTGCAGTAAATCCCATCATCCCAATATTAAACACCCAAATGGTCCCAATGGAATGTGGAAATTCCCTATTAAATTATTACACCATGGTTTTCTAGTTTCCTCTGGTGTTTTTTTTTTCAGGATGGGATTTTTCGCGATTCTTTCCAAAAGTGGACGGATTTCGATCCTCAGCTCCTCTCAGTTCCACACCGAGTAGGACTTCCTGGACTCCGTACGTGGAGGCATCGCCTCGCAGACGTCCACGAAATGCGTGGCACAATGAGAACACCTGGGAGCCGCGTGGCACGCGTGGCATGGCGAAGTTCCGGAAGGTGAACTGAAGATCACCGGATCACATGTGGTGCACTTTGACTCGATTTCTATGAGTCTCAGTCGTAGATATATATATATATCATATTAAGTAATATCTAGATTATCAATATTGTCATATTAAGTATATATCATATTAAGTAATATCATAGTAATATCATAGTAGTCTAAGATGCTGTTATCTAGATATCTAGATATTTCAATATATCATAGTAATATCATAGTAATATTATAGTAATATCTAGATTATCTAGATTACAGCATCTTAGATAGTCTCAGGGGACCATCCATATCATCTGTTTGAAACTGATCCGGTCATCATGCGCCAAGATGCGGATAGGTTTGTATGAACGCCGCCAGCCAGTCCTGAGCTTGGAATCCCAGGTTGAGTCATCTCTAGTCTATCCTGCTTTACCATAGGTAAAATCACCATTTTTAGTAAGTAAAACAGCACTCTTTAGTAGGTAAATCATCATCAATCATCTATGGATGATTTTACATAAGTATATATGTTTATCCTTTTTTTTGGAGATTTGAACTGTTGAAACTGATTCGAAACTCCATGAATCAAAGATCTTACAGCCCAGAAGGCAGTAGAGGAATGCTTCCGCAACACCTTACGTTCGCGCCTCCGAGTTTTAGCCGCGCAGGAGTAGTTTATGCTGGTGCCAATGCAGATTTTTGCACTGAGCGAAGTCCGTTACGTATCATAATATCTCCATTGTGTCCCCATTCAATGCCCCAAAAACATATAATCTCAGTCTCAGCATATCCCAAGCTTTGTAGATAATGTTTACATGTTAAATCTCTATTCCTCGCCTTGAATCACTGCCGTTTTTTCCCCAAAGATGCTGTTTTTTGAAAGTAGACTACCATCAAAAATCTTGGATCAGCCTGGATTTGAAGGTTCAAATCTTTGGCAAAAAGCTTCGATCTCCGTGGTGGTGGAGGAACCTATTTCCTCGTGATGTCATAGCAATTTTGCCAGTGTTTAAATTCTTCACACCACATTTTTTATGGTTAAACCATGTGAACATCTTCGCGAATCATCTCATTTTCCCACCCTATTTTCTTTTGGCGAAACCGTTAAACCCCATTTTTCATCCTCAAAATCCCAGTTTTCATGGCTTCCTCATGGGTCTATATACCTCTATTTGTCTATTTGTCATGGCAAAAACCTATAGAAAAACCATGGAAAAAATCCACATTTCCCACATTTTCCCAGCGGCGCCTGCGCCTCTTTGGCCTCGTTCCTTCGCGGCGTTTCTGGAAACTGCGCCGCCATGGCATGGAGGTAGCGCCAGGCCGCACGGCCGATCTCTGCGCGATCCGGGGGCTCCACCTTTCGAAAAATGGAGGGGTCGACCATGGGAAAAATGGTGGGTTTAACCAGGGAAAACTGTGGGTTCCCCATTCAACCAGGGAAAATGCTGGGTTTAACCATGGAAAACCATGGAAAATGAGGTGAAACCCCTGGTTCCATCATGGAAAATAGCGAAAAAACCATGGTTTAAGCCTCAAAAATTGGGATTTAACATGATTTAACCATTGAAAAATGGTGGATTTGACGGGTTGACCATGGAAAGTAGGGGGTTCAGCAGAAACTTGGGATTTGGATTGGGATGATTTTCATCTGATACATGATATCGTTCATCCCTTAGCCTTGTCATCTAGTATGGTTGGGATGATGGAAATTATGAATGATATTGGCATCATTTCCGTCCAAAAAAATATATGGAATTTCAACTGGGATGAATCTGTTTCTGTGAATCTGTTACAATTGTCAAGTGAGGAAAACTTTCATAAGATAGAAAATCAAGTGATTTCTTGGTAACAAAGCCTGTATTTATTTCATTGAGCATTGCCAGATTGGATTTGATTGGGCTTTTAGCGAATGATCCATTGAAAAGACCTGAGAAAAAAGATGAAAGAACTGCCTCATCATCATCAGGTTCGACACTTGACCTGGCGTGATATTGGCATCCATCATTTCCATGTCAATCTGTCAAGCCGAAGAGGCAACACAGCAACACATCCAACTTGCCCCGAATCCAACTTGCCATTTTTGGGCATTTTCTGGACCAGATCAGATGGATTCTACAGGACCACAAAATCACCATCAATTTTAAGCACAGCTTCCGCCTGTCCCGACAGGAGCTTTCTTCGCAGCGTTTGTCGGTGCGGAACTTTTCTTTTAACGTCGACCTGGAGCTGAAAATCACATCATTTCTACAGAGGATGCACTGCTGATGGATGGCACAGATGGCACCAGGTATCCCACCAGCTGGAGCTCGAGCTGCTCATGATGCCATCAAACTGGGAACGTGAATCTGAAGTGCGGTTGAGGGGGTGAGGGGGTGATGATATGTCGCAACATGAAGATATTGGACATTCTTTGACACTCAAGATATTTGGTTCAGATCTTCATCAAATCTGGACTTCTTGAGTCTTTGAGAGTTCATGGATTTGACAACAGAACCATGGGGGTGTCAGTTGGGCTATGTTGGGCTGCAGTGGGACACTGAAAAATCTACGGCCCTGCATGCCCTGCAGTCGGAATGTCTGACCTGTGAAAAGCTGCAGCTGAAGACATCTGGTCCTTCTGACTCTCTCTTGGTCAATCATGACCTGCCAACCATCCACTAACCGCGATGTCTTTTTGTTCGCGTCCAGCTGCTATCCATTGGCCAAACCATCCGGTGAAACACTAAAACTACTAGCAGTCTCAGTGCCTTCAACAAAAGAACACAATTCACAGGAAACAAACTCATCATTTCCAGCCGATGATTCCCCTTCAGCACTGGGCCCCTTTTTTCGGTTTGATTTCGATGACCCTCTCAGGCGGAAAAGAGACGGGGACGATGGTCCTGTGGCACCAAATGTCTGAAAAACGCTGGGTTGAAACATGATGAAACATGTTGAAACCTATACCAGTCCTGGATTCTTCTGAGTCCATCAATGATCAGTTGATTATCCCAAAAGAACCCAGTTTGTTGGTTGGATTTGGTTGGAATAGTTAAACGACATGTTGTGGTTGTCACCATGACCATTTCTGAGTTTCTCTCAACTTCTGGGACACAGAAATGGTGAAATCGATATGGTGCCAGTCATTTTCCCATGTTTTCCCCACCTTTTGTGGCGTGGTGATGCCACCCACCGGAGGCCTTGGGCAAGGGACAGGCCAGGGACAGCGGGATTTTAAGGGAAGATATTTGAGAAATTCACTGAGAGGTTCAATGGGATATGGATATTCAGTGATATGATGGGATGCTATAACTATACTATATAATTATTATAAATT